AGGTTAAGAAGAGGTGGCAAGATTACACAGAAGAACTATACAAGAAAGAGCTTAACGTCCCTGATAACCACGATGGGGTGGTCACTGACCTCGAGCCAGACATCCTGGAATGTGAAGTCAAATGGGCCTTAGCAAGTCTGAGCAACAACAAATCTAGTGGAGGCGACAGTATTCCAGTTGAGCTATTCAAAATCCTAAAAGACGATGCAGTAAAAGTGCTACACTCAATATGCCAGCAAATTTGGAAAACTCAACAGTGGCCACAGGATTGGAAAAGGTCAGTTTACATTCCGATCCCAAAGAAGGGCAATGCCAAAGAATGTTCAACTCCCGCACCATTGCACTCATTTCACATGCTAGCAAAGTTATGCTCAAAATTCTACAAGCTAGGCTCCAGCAGTATGTGGACCAAGAACTACCAGAAGTACAGGCAGGATTTTGAAGAGGGAGAGGAACTAGAGATCAAATTGCCAACATACGCTGGATCATGGAGAAAGCTAGGGAGTTCCAGAAAAACATCTACTTCTGCTTCATTGACTATGCTAAAGCCTTTGATTGTGTGGATCACAGCAAATTGTGGCAAGTTCTTAAAGAGATGGGAGTACCTGACCATCTTATTTGTCTCTTGAGAAACCTATATGCGGGTCAAGAAGCAACAGTGAGAACTGGACACGGAACCACTGATGGGTTCAAAATTGAGAAAGGAGTTCGGCAAGGCTGTATACTGTCGCCCTGCCTATTTAACTTATATGCAGAACACATCATGAGAAAGGTGGGCCTAGATGAATCACCAGTTGGAATTAAGATTGCTGGGAGAAATATCAATAACCTCAGATCTGCAGATGATACCACTCTCATGGCAGAAAGTGAAGAGGAACTAAAGAGCCTCTTGATGCGGGTGAAGGAGGAGAGCGCAAAAGTTGGCTTGAAACTCAACATTAAGAAAACTAAGATCATGGCATCCGGTCCTCTCACTTCCTGGCAAATAGATGGGGAAGAAATGGAGGTAGTGACAGATTTTATTTTCCTGGGCTCTGAGATCACCGCATACGGGGACTGCAGCCAAGAAATTAAAAGATGCTTGCTCCTGGGGAGGAAAGCTATGGCAAATTGAGACAGCATACTAAAAATCAGAGACATCACCCTGCCAACAAAAGTGTGTATAGTCAAGGCTGTGGTTTTCCCAGTTGCAATCCATGGCTGTGAAAGCTGGATCATAAGGAAGGCTGAGCGCAAAAGGATTGAGGCCTTTGAATTGTGGTGCTGGAGGAAACTCCTGCGAGTCCCTTAGACAGCGAGGTGATCAAACCGGTCAGTCCTAGAGGAGATCAACCCTGACTGCTCTTTAGAAGGCCAGATAGTGAAGATGAAACTCAAATACTTTGACCACCTAATGAGAAGGAAGGACTCCCTGGAGAAGAGCCTAATGCTGGGAACATTAGATGGCAAAAGAAGAAGGGGATGCCAGAGAATGAGGTGGCCAGATGGAGTCACTGAAGCAGTTGGTGTGAGCTTGGGTGGACTCTGGGAGAACAGGAAGGTCTGTTGTCCATGGGGTCGCGATGGGTCGGACATGACTTCGCGACTAACAACACTTTTCTGGCAGCTCGAGTGATGTTGTTATCCACTTGGTTGAGTGTAAGGAGAAGAGGAATAGATTGTTGCCTTTTTGCCCACATATATGTTTTTTACATAGTCATAGTACAGCAATTTGCATGAAGGGTCATGTACCAAAAATGAGTGAACTCAATGTCATTGTTGTGCAGCCACTAGGGAATTCCTTAGGGCCAGATATCTTGTGGGAAGAAATGACTGCCAGCTGAGCAGTAAAGAATACAGAGATCTATAAAGGCTGGCGATGAAGCTAGAACTTCCTGTATTAAACTGGAAGCTGCAGTTAGCCAAGATTCTCTAGGAAAGTAAGGCACCATTAATCTATTCATTGGCATCTTTACAGTGAAAATCCGTCTTGCATTAAAAATAATGCAACCTATTCAGTTAAATACTGGAAGTGCCAATAATAATAAATTATTTGGGACTGTGTCTCTTCGCATGGGAATGGGCTCAGACCCTGCAGATTTGATGCTTTTCCTTACAATCAGATTTTCCCCCGACTCATAGATTACTGCAACTCACTCTGCATTGGGCTGCCCTAATAGACTATCCAGAATAGAGTTGCATCACTATCAGTGGGCATGTAGGCCAGGAGCCATATCACATTGTTCTTTAAAAGACCAACATTGGTTGTCTCTTAGTTACTGGGTCCAATTCAAGGTGATAGGATTAAACTTCAAAGCTCTTGAACTCTTTTGGTCCTGAATGCCTGAAGGAATGTCTTTCTCCCCAAATAATCCTGTCTCTGGAGTTTGAGGACAGCTGTGGGGAGTTGTTTTTTAAACCTATAACTCATTGAAGGGTCTTTTCAGTAATGGCAGCCCTGTTGAGAAATTCACTTACACCCCCTCCTTTCTTTCAGTTAGCTTTTCCTATACAGTTTTGGTACCAACTGAAAACTACCCCCCAAGAACTCCTTTGGGTAATTGGGTATTATGTTTCTGTTTTTAAATTCTATCACTGTTCATGTGATGGTTGCCACCCACCCTGAGATCTCGTGTGATGAGGCATGGGATTTGAATAGGCACATGAAAATAAAATTTAGGTTCAAACACTTAGTGCATACTGCTAATTTCTTGTACATTCATCCTGTGGAAAAACTGGATAGATCTCTGTTGCAAGTTTCCTCAACCTAGTGCTCTCCAGGTATGTTTGACTAAATTTCTGTCATTCCCAGCCAGCATAATGGGACTTGTAGTTGGACACCACTGGAGTGCAGCAGGTTGGGAAAGGTGCTCCAATGTTTTCTCTGATTTTTTTGAGGAAATTTCAGTGTAGAGTTTGTATCAGTATTCTGTGAATATTTAGGGGGAAGACTTGGAATAATGTTAGCCATTAATAGTGAATGTGTTTGGCATAATGAGTAAAAGGCAAGATATTTCATTTAGTTACTGAATTATTAGTGGGATAGCAGAATTGGTTAAATACTAATTTTGTTGAAAGCTCCAGGAAATGGCCAAGTGGCATAAATCACAATAGTCAATAGATTTGGGGAGGGGGGGTAATTAAAAAGTTAAAATCATCTCATGTTGGCAGTTAGTTTTCCTACATCTTTTTAGGAAAAGCATTTTCCATAGAGATACTAGTTCATATTTATATAATTAAGCTGTTTCCTGTGAGTAATTTCATTACTGGGACCACTAATAGCAGCTCCAAGCTTAATTTAGCAGATGCATTTCCAGCAGGTCCTCTGGTGTTATATGAGCATTTTCCCCCAGCGAATAGGCAAAGTGAGGATGATGCACTAAATACTTAAAGAACAACCTATGTATGTTGAGGAATCCCAGACAAATCAAGATATGTTGTCCTCATTTTACCTGTTGCTGTGGGAAACACCAAGATATTTGCAACAACTCTTTTTTGCCATATGAAGTGTGAAGCTGCTCTCCATAGCTGGCACTAGTATTGATCTTCAGTAGCATGCTTCATGTGTAAAAGAGACCAGTTAGTGTTTTGATATATGCTTTCCTACAGGGTGTAATTTGGGTTTGGTTGAAACTACATGTCCATGCTTGTAGATCTTTATCAGTTTAGGAAATCATATGTTTATGTATAGAATTCTTTAGTATGAGTTGAAATGGTTTCAAAGATTGTTGGCTGAAGAACCAGTAGGAAATTAATGGTTATTTAATGTCTACTAATGGAAAAGTTGTGTACTTGCTGTAATTTTTGCAAAATACTTGAGATTTGGGAAATTACAAGAAAATGAATACAACTTTCAAACAATTACTGAATTGCATAAAAGCTTACTTTAAAAGGGGAAGTATTGTAAAAGAACACAAGGTTCTTTATTTCATACGCCTTTATCAGCATTAGGCATCCTTCTATTTCAAGATACAGAAATGTGATTATAAGGAATATTTCTGATGTCTCTGATAGTTGGTGTGGATGACTACAGCTCAGAGTCTGATGTGATTATTATACCTTCAGCCCTGGACTTTGTCTCACAAGATGAAATGTTGACACCTCTGGGAAGATTGGACAAGTACGCTGCAAGCGAGAATATTTTTAATAGGTATTGTACTTAAGCCTGAATAATTCTTAATTCTGAATAATACTTAAGTCTGAGGAATTCCTGTCTTATAAGGTGGTATTTTAAAATTTATTTAATTACTGCATGTAAGAAAAATACATTTTAAAAATTTTGCAAGAGCATTTAAAATCATAACAGCAATCCACTGTTTATGTTCAATAGATTGCCTGCCCTTATCAAGGTCTACTTCGCATGTCATTTTGTAAGAAGATGTGTGTTACATATTTGTATTGTATTCATACTAAGAGCTCAATCCTAAGGGTGTTTAGACAGAAAAGGCACTAAAACATACAGCATTCCCGAGCCATCCTTATAGTATAGTAATATTTGAGGAGCTACAGTTCTTTTCTTTTCCTAATATGAGTATGTTGTAGGTGCACATGATTAAAAATGAGTGGTCTCTTCAGCTGCTACATTTTTTATGGATACGCAGCACTAGTCTGTAACATTCATAAATTTCAAGGATTAGCCTGCCACCTGGAAGATACACTATAAACACCACTTTAGGGTGAGTCCTGTAGCTGCTGGCCATAGGAGGAATTGGGAATTCCAGCACTGCCCACAGAAATGTATTCCAAGGCTGGGACTCTGACCTTGAGGCAAATTCCCTCCACCCTCTAGCTGGTATGACACTTTCAACACTGGCTGTAGGCCCAAGGTCATAAGACTGACCTCAGAGCCAGCACTGGGGTGGGGGGGGATTCTAGGGGGGCAGGAAAGGGAGGAAAGCTCCTCTGGAGCATGATTGCACCGTACAATGTATCCTGGCAGTACTTTATCCTATTGTTCTTGAGAATAGGCACGAAAGAGTCAAAATGGCCAAAATCAGGTAAATGTTTTGCAGAGTAGGAGAAGCGCAGAAGCTACTTTTGCCTCCCTACTCCTTCCATCCTTATAATCTCTCAGAATCACTGTCCTTATCTTTGAGAAATCAAAGTGCCAGATGAATGGAGAAGGGCTAATATTGTCTCTATCTTTAAGAAAGGAAAAACAGAACCTGAGAATTACAGACCAATCAGTCTGACACCAGTTCCTGGGAAAATTCTGGAGCAAATCATGAAGTAGATCATGCAAATACCTTGAAAACAATGCAGTAATTACTAGATGCTAACATGGATTTCTCAAGAACTATTCCTACCAGACTAATCTGATTTTATTTTTTGAATGGATAACCTTCCTGATGAACTGTGGGAACGCTGGGGACATAATCTATCTTGACTTCAGTGAAGCTTTTGACAAAGTGCCCCATAATATCCTGATTAGTGGATGGATGGAACAACTATCAGGTGGATCCACAATTTTCTACAGAATCAGACTCAAAGAGTGCTCATCAATGGCACCTTCTCAAACTGGGGAGCGAAAAAAAGTGGGGTACTGCAAGGTACAGTCCTGGACCCAATGTTCCTCAACATTTTTATTCATGATTTGGGTGAGGAAGTGCAGGAAATGATCATCAAATCTGCAGATGACACAAAACTGGGTGGGATAGCTAATACCCTGGAAGACAGAAAGATTCAAGGTGATCTTAATAGCCTGGAACGCTGGACTGAAACAACAGAATGAAATTCAATAAGGACAAATGGCAAGGTCTGCCCCTTGGAAAAAGAAACCAAATGCATTGTTACAAGACAGAGAATACTCGGCTCAACAATACTGCAAATGAGAAGATGATCTTGGAATTGTTGTAGATCACAAGCAGAACATGAGTCAATAATGTGATGTGGCTCCAAAAGGGGCAATTGCTATTTTAGGCTGCCTTAATAGAAATATCACTTCCACATCTAGTGAAATACGAGTTCCCCTTTACTCAGCACTGGATAGGCCTCATCGGAATATTGTGGCCTGTTCTGAGCACCACAATTTAAGGAAGATGGAGACAAGCTGGAAAGGGTTCGAAGGAGAGCAAGACATATGATCCAGGGATTGAAAACAAAGTCTGTGAGGAGAGATTGAAAGAACTGGGTATGTTTAGCCTTGAGAAGAGAAGACTGAGGAGAGATAGGATAGCATTCTCCAAGCACTTGAAAGGTTGTTGCAAAGAGGCAGGCCAGCTTGTGTTCTTGGCCATCCCAGAGTACAAGACACAGAATAACAGGCTCAATTTACAGGAAGCCAAATTCTGGCAAGATGCCAAAAAATTTTCTGCCTGTTAGAGCAATACAACAATAGAACAAATTACTAAGGGAGGTTGTAGGCTCTCTCACACAAGAGGCATTCAAGATGCAACTTCACAGCCTTCTGAGAGGGAAGGTTTAACTTGAAGTCTGAAACGGGTTGGAGCTGATGGCCTGATAGCCCCTTCAAACAATACTATTCTATGATCTTCTAAATTCAGAGGGTTCTGTGCAGTCATATTGGATTGTGCTGTTAGCCACTGAATTCCAAGGGAAATAGTCTGCTTTTGTATTTAGAATTTTTATATATCACTGCAGGAGTATAATGCTAGAAACTTCTCCATTTATATTAATCTAAAATGCTGTTCTAAATTTCTAATGCTAAATATTAAATTTATTTAGACCAGTTTCTGTCCTATCAGTAGCAAAATAATAATAAAATAAAAGCAGCAAAATATATCAACAGGGAAAAGCAAGCTCATATTGCTGTACAGAGCCATGAAGTTTTCAGCAAGTCACTCACTCACAGTCTGACACAGTTCTTCCGAGGGTGAAATTCATTAGCCAGAATTCACTACTTGATTTCTTTGGAGGATATAATTATGATATATTAATTTGGAATAGGTAAATTATTTATCAGAATGTAAATGCTATAGTATTGCAATGTACTTTATTTTTTCCTAGGCAAATGGTGGCTCGAAGTTTGTTGGACACTTTGAAAGAAGTGAGTGATGATGAGCGAGATTGTATTGCTGTACTGGAAAGAGTCAGCAGGCTAGCAGATGATTCAGGTATGTAGTATGATCATTCTCTGTGGGGTGATGGAATAAGAGGGCAGTTGAAGGGAGAATTAGAATGCTTATAGGGAGGAGAAAAAACCCAAATTAAAATAGCGTATTAGATGGAAGTAGAAGTCATGTTTTTGATTGAGCATAGTTAGCAATACCACCCAGTAATTCTTTCAAGGAAACAGTTGTGACTTTACACATGCTGCAGGATCACGACTCATAAAACTGAATTCATAGTAGTGAAGGTAGTCAGCATAAAGGAAAAATGAGCTATCAACTTGTTACATTGACACAGAATTTTAATATTGTAGGCCACCTTGGGAAGACTGCAGTCATGGAAGCTGGTTAAGATGTTTATTAAATAAAGATAAATATATAAATGAATGGGTGTAAAAGAGAGATGAAATTGGATCCAAATAAGTTGGGAGTGCTGTTGGCAGGAGGTTCTTCACTGGGAGGTATAGATGACTTTGTACTCACTTGTACTCAAAGGAGGAGGTTTAACATTTCACTTAGATCCAGCTGTTTATCATTGGGTGCCCAAATGGACGTCATAGCATGAATCACTTTCCACCAGTTGCCAGCTTGTGGTGTGCCAGCTGTGACCTGTTGTAAATAGAGATAGCTTGGGCAGGCTTAACCAGATTAGATTAGTATAGTGCACTCTATGGGCAAGCTGCCTATGCAGAAATGGCATGTCCGAATACATCCACTAATACCTGGGCACTCAGAACCTATTTCTCCAGTGCTTAACCCCACTGCTCTAACCTCCTATTCTTGCTCTTGCCTTTAAATTCCAAACAACATCAATCTGCGTACCTAAAGAATTGTCTTCTCCACAGGAAGCATGCATGAACACTAAGATCATTCTCAGAGGCCCTTCGTTTGCCCCACTCCCAGCATTTGAGCTAAGGCAGATAGCAGTGGTGGAAAGAGATTGCTTGGCACTGGCATTCCCTGTTACTGAATGCTGCTTACCTTCTACTCTGTTTGGCATCAGGCAAAGGAAGAGTGTTTTACTCAGTCTTGCATTATAATAGGAATGTGTCTTCTGACTGTTGCTGTTCCGTCATTTACAAATGACTTATTGGTGCATTTTGATGTTTGCCTTGATAGAACCAACAGTACGAGCTGAACTGATGGAACAGGTGCCTCATATTGCTATGTTTTGTCAAGAAAATAGGCCTTCAATCCCTTATGCTTTCTCAAAATATTTATTACCCATTGTGGTGAGATACCTTGCAGACCAGAATAACCAGGTGAGAGTCCCTTGAATTATTGAATAGTTTATAGGATCGGAAACAAAGTTTACATATTAATATTTATATTTTTTATTTGGATCAACTATCACCATGTAAATGTTTTACACAGTTTTTATATACAACATAATCAGTGTGCACATTCCTTTGAAGCTGCAATGAATCAACTTCCTGCCCTTAGGAATGTGGGTCTCAAAATGTGATGTGGAGAAGGAAGAAACTAGGAGGGTAAATAAGCAGAATGGATTCACTCAGATTATTTTTTAAATCATGAATTTTTATCTATCCTGTTTCAAGATCACTGGAGTAGATTTTTCTTGTTTTTACACATTTTAATGTGTACTTTCTGTGTGTACTCCCTCCAGGAGAAAAAACAACAGTAACCATTATGAAGCAGTATAGGGTGCCATAGTATACTGGAGTTAATGGTGTTGTGCACAGACTTGCCATACTGATTTTGTGATTTTAATGTTATTCTGGGAGGGGAATCTAGTTAGGTAACTGGGGTATATAGGGCCCCTTTCATATATACTTGGAGCTCAGTATTTCTCATATTCTTGTTTCATTCTCTCCTGCTGCTTTTCTGCCTTTAAAAAAAAACCACAGGTGAGAAAAACAAGCCAGGCAGCATTACTTGTTCTGCTAGAGCAAGAACTTATTGAACGATATGATGTTGAGACCAAAGTATGCCCAGTTCTTGTAGAACTGACTGCTCCAGACAGCAATGATGACGTGAAGACAGAAGCTGTGGCAGTAAGTAGGAGGAAGAAGTTACTTGGTATAGCTCTTAGTTGAATACTTAGATTTAGTGCAGAGGAAACAGAGCTGCTTGCCTATAGGGTATTCTTCTTCCTCAGTAATTGAGAGGTAAAGAATTATTTTTCCATCTTAAGATATTACATGCTTTTAAGAATCAGTGTTTCAAAGCCCTGCAAAATGCTTGTACTGAGAACATTTATATAAAGGAAGGAAATTGTAAAAACTGTGAAACATTTCAATCTTGCACAGAAGTTGCTTAACTTCCATTAATTTCTTGGATCCAAACTGTATGTAGGGTTGCAGTCAATGAACTTTACATGGACTGAGAACCCACGGTGGAAGATAATTAAAAATATAATTGCTTTGACTTGCTTATTCAGGGCTTGGATGTAAAGAATTGATTTACTTCAGAAATGTTGCCCACTTCAGACATAGTAATAAGCCAGTTTACAGAAGAACTGTGGTTCATTATGCTCAAGCAGCATGCTGATGCTTGCTGCCCTATTGCTCTTACTGCAAGCAGGGACAACTAAACAAACCATGGACCTTTGCTGAAATATGTGAAAGAGGAATTCTGCCTTGTCTTTCCCAAGACAATGCAGAGTCATAAAGCAACCATAGCAACCGTGGTTTATGACTTTAAGCAGTTTGTGGCTTGTTTAGGAGGAGCTGTGGCAGGTGGGGTGTGGGGACAAAAGAATTAAGCAGGAGTGGTGGGATTCTTCCAGGACTCCTACCTTGCTTATAGCTGTATCAAGGTCGATCTCATATGCCAGTGTGTATGCATGATGTAAAATGTAGCTACTCAAATATAGAATTGCACTGGAAATATCAACAGGTTTGACTGTTCTATTTAGTAATCTTGAGTCAACAGTAGTTGTATGTAAACAACATTTAGTTTTGGGGTTTTACATTCCCTGGATCTATTTCATTAAAATATTTAATATTGAACTCAGGTATAGATTTCTACATTTCCATTTAGATTTTCATGTTGATCTTAAAGTGCATTTAGACTGAGAAACTTTTGTTTAGACTCTGTGCATCTTTCTGCTCTCTTTAGCTTGATATCGGCAAGTTGTCAGTGAAGTAACAATGCAATAGAAAATAGTAATTTAATAATTTATAATACATATTTTCATAGGATTGCTATCTGATGAGAGGTACGAGTCTTTTGCAGACTTAGGAATCCAGATTTAATTGATGTTTATCTAATCATTGTTTTCTCTGTGATTAGATAATGTGCAAAATGGCCTCTATGGTAGGAAAGGACATCACAGAGAGGCTCATTCTTCCTAGATTTTGTGAGATGTGCTGTGACTGCAGAATGTTTCATGTCCGTAAGGTATGACCCCCTTCCTTTCTAAATCTCTACTTAACCGGGAGTGCCTATGGCTGCTGAATATGAGAGAGATTCAGTCAGTATTGCATATATAATTACTGCTCCTTTGTAGCTTGAAACCAAATAAATTATTTATGGCAGAATTTCAATTAAGTATAAACACAAAATATCCACATGTTCTTGGATGAATACACAGATTCCTGGGGCACATTTGTATAAGTTCAACAAGCCCTTTTATTAGAATGAATGATAATTTTTTTATAGGCAGGAATCCTTTTTCATGCCTCTATAAGCAATCATGGGCTTGAGCTGTCAGTGTTGCATCCAGAGAACTGGACTTGGGAAACATGACTTCAAAACATCTTTTTGCCATGAGGCTCACTGGGAGGCCTTGGGTGAGTCAGTGTTTAATTTATCAGTAAAGGATAACTATGGGGCTAAAGTGTGATAATCCCATGGTTGCTACAAGTAAACCAAGTTCTTTAGATATAGAAAGCATTTTCTGATCTCCCACCCTGAGTGACAACTGAGTTTTCAGATGAAATAAAATCTTTGGCCTACTCAGAACAGTCAGGCTCTTTTCCAGCCTCCCCCTCCCCACACACACACATACAATTAATTTAGGAATGATGCTTATTTATAGATAAAAACTTTAATTTTCATTTTCCCCCTCTAGTTTAAATATGCACATAATCAAGTTATAAACCCTGTTTTTAAACTGGCTAAATTACAAGATGGAGAATGCAATGAGTAGTAAACCTGTAGTGCAGTAAAAAAGACTTATAATTCATTCTGAAACACACCATTAAGAACAATTGGAGAACTATAGTCCTACTTTATTAAATAAAGTTGAATACCTACAGTGTTTGTCTTCTTGGTGCATGCTCCTGCAATTTTAATAAATATATTTATGTATTTTCAGGTCTGTGCAGCCAATTTTGGTGATATCTGTAGTGTAGTTGGACAGCAAGCCACTGAAGAAATGCTGGTACGTAGCTTAGAATTCCAGATAGGCTTTGATAGGCTGTAGTTGTGAAGAACATGTGGCCCTCCAGGTGGTGTTTTGACTGCAGTTCCTATCCACTCTACCCAGCAAAGAGTGGGTAGTGGTGAGAGAAGATAGGAGCTTCAATCCAACAACATGAGAGAACCCCACATTCCTCATAGAGTTATAATTCCTTTCTAGTCCCATTAAAATCGCTTCAAATTAGATGGATTGAAATATGCTGGATTTTGCTAAGGATTTTAAAGAAATTTCCATGTAATTTGGTGGTGGTGTAATCAAATGAGAGAGGATAGGATTGGTAATCATGACTCTGTAGTTTTTCATAAATGTGCGGTCAGTTGTCAACAGATACTGCATTACATAGCTGGGACAATCTGATATCAAGACAGTCTTTGCTCTTAAATGACATGAAAACATATTTGGCAAATTGGAGACATAGATTGATTTGCCATCTAATTTCTTGAATTATGAAGTTGGCATTCTGTCATTTGACTTGTGTTCTCACAATGCATACTTACTGACATCTGTTTTCTTCAATAGCCTTCGCTTGCTGATATATACAGCATACCTCTATGCACATTTACCCTAAAGAAAGACCCATTTCTTTCAGTGGGATTTACTCTCACTTATTTCTGTACAAGACTTAGTCCCATAGCCACTTATAAACCCCTGTTAACCCAGCCAGACTTACTTCTAAGTAGACATGAATATTATACTGTTAAATGTGTGTTTCTTGTAAGATGCCTTTATGACCCCAAACACACACATCCTTCTTATTTGAGTGCTTAAAGCAGGGGTCCTCAAACATTTTCACCAGGGGGCCAGTTGAAAGGTGCCATTGCTGGGCACAGGCCGGAAAGGTGGTGCTGGCAGTGTGTGCGGGCCAGCGAGGGGGCGGGGTGCGCAGACACGGCGAGGCAGGGGCGGGCATGCGCTGCAAGGCAGGTGCGCGAGGCAGTGGCTTGCTCACTTGGAGATCATTTTCTCCGCACGAGTCCAAAATGATCTCCGCGCGAGCAAGCCGCCACTTCCCCACATGTGGGGCGAGGCAGGCGGCAGGCGCGACAGGGAGTGAGTCCAAAACTTCTGAGGCGGGCCGAATAAATGGGTTTGGAGGGCTGGATCCGGCCCACAGACCATAGTTTGAGGACCCATGGCTTAAAGAGTCACTCCCTGAATCTGTGGAGCATAACATAAATGCTTGGTGAATAATAAATGATAAATGAAATGCAAAAATATGTATATCTGATATGTGGTGTTACTTCTCAGCAAGACAATATCATAGCACACATTTTTGAGTGTCTTATCCTTGATATTAGTTAAAGGGAGGAGTATATTACAGTATCACCAAAATTAGGAAATAAAATCTCAGTCCTATGAAGGTTTATACATTATCATACAAGAGGCATTGTTTTTCTAATAATGTCTTAGAGCTATATGAGTATTCAAGATAAAAAGCCAACAGATCTTAATTAAATCAAATTACATTAATTTAAATGGATAAAATTGTTATGTTTTATATTCAGTTACCTAGATTTTTCCAACTTTGTTCTGATAATGTTTGGGGTGTACGGAAGGCATGTGCTGAATGCTTTATGGCTGTTTCATGTGCCACATCACAGGAGGTCCGTCGAACAAAATTGTCAACACTTTTTATTAACCTTATCAGTGATCCTTCACGATGGGTAAGATGTCGGTTTTTAATTTATTCTTCTCTTACTTTAAGATCCTTAATCTCTTTGTGTGTCCATTTTTTGACAATTAAAACAATAGAGTATTAATAGTGTTAGCATGAGGGAGAGTCATATATAAGCCCCATCTTCTGCCTTTTTGAAGCATTTTGCAGAAAGTGGTTTAGATCAAGAGTTCTGTTCACACTGAAGGAAGGGGTGAAGAGATGGATCTTTGTTGATTCTTCCTTCAGTCTGTGGAGATTTAAAACAAAAAGAACTCTGAAGATTTTGTCTCTTTACTTCCTTATTAGTAATACATATTTCAAGGTTTTTTTCAAACAACGTAAGGACCTACAGTTTTACTGTGTAGTACCAAAAGTAAAAGTGATTCCAAATATAGCATTTTATAATAAAAGTTAAAAAATGCACAGTACTTTTGTGCATTTTTGTACTATTACTATTTTGTACATTTTTATACTATTGTACTACAGAGGTTGATGAGTTGGTTTGACAAATAAATTAGCAATCTTCTGTGGAAAAGGCAAAAATCACAAGTATATTTTTTGCAATTTATGACAATTTGACCTGTGAAATATTTTGCTATTTCTTACTTCATTTCTTTGCTTTTTAAAAACATGCATTTGCAAATCTTTTTGGATTTCATACTGACCTATTCAATAACTGCTTTGCTGAAGGTTTATTTGTTGTTTTATTTGTAAGGATGTGTGCACTTTTATACAGAATGAATGTAATGTAATTCAAGATTTTTCAGTAAAATATCTTTGAGAGAAGACTTCTGAATGCTTGTAGAATGCTGTAGTATTTATAGGTCTTTTTCTCAAGACAGTTCAGATATATTACTATGATTGTATTATGTTTGTATGTGTCTTGATGCTGATTTGACATGCAAGGGTGCACCCATCCCTTTTAATGGAATATGGATGGCAGCCTCTGTCTTTATTCCTGAAACAGTTAGCATAGAGCATTCCCATGTTTCAATTCTTGCCCGTTTCCAGATGCACAATTCCCCTATAGCATACCCTTAGGAACTTAGCACTTTCCCACTCATGCCAACTGGAGTGTTCATTTCAAGCAGCTGTATTTAAAGGAACTCTCTGGAACACATTATTCTAGGTCCGCCAAGCTGCCTTTCAGTCCCTGGGGCCTTTTATATCAACATTTGCTAATCCATCCAGCAGTGGTCAGTTTTTTAAAGAAGAAGAATGTAAGAACACTGAGGATCAACATTTTGCAGAAGAACATAGGTATGAACTGATGAAAATAAAATATTAAATTCTTGAGTTTATTTTTATAGCCTACACTTGTTTGCATGTTCTGCCATTCTTTATGAAGGAAAATTAATGTCCCAAATTCTGAGGGCAGTAGCAAAATAGTCCTTTAAACAAATCTTTATAATAACTGGGAATTTTTAGTCCATGTTTGTGCCAAAATTTTGTTTATTACGGAAATTCCTTAACGATTTTTATGTTCCCATCAGTAAAGCGTTTCAGTGAAGCCCAGGGGTCCTTATGTAGAGCAGTGGTAGCTAAGCTTTTTGGCCAATTTGGAAACCAATTTACTCGGTATACTCCTTTGGGGTCACTTTTGCTTCTTGCCTGTGTTTTTTCCCCCTTTCCTTGTTCATCATACAAAGCCCCACTACTTTTTTTCTTTGGGACCCCCTTCCCCAGGCTCCAGGTTGATAGCTCATGATGCAACTACGCATATGCTTATAACCACTATAATAGATATCTTAACATTCACATTTGTTTTCTTTGTGCAGCAATGAAAGAATTGTGGATACAGACAGTGTCCCAACACAGGATGTACAAAGCCAGACAGAGTTGCCTTTAGATGTTGGTAATAGTGCTTCTGCAGAGACCCTTGAAAACCGCAAGGACGAGAGTAGCTCCATGTTGGTTCATTTCCAAGCTGAGACAACTTTATGTGGCACTTTGTCTCCAGATTCATGTAAAGAAACTCCAGATGAAAACGCACAAAGTTTTGATCATTGTAGCATAGCATCTCTTCCAGCAACTGCACTGAGTTTCCAGGTAAACTCCGTTTCAGAACAGGAACTGTACAACTCATTCCATTTCTGGAGGACTCCACTTCCCAAGATAGATATTGATTTAGAGCTTCAGGAAACTGCAAGAATACTTGATTCAGAAACTCAGGAAGGAGAACAGGAAGTTATTGCATCAGCTTCTTCAAGCATTACCATGGCTACAAGAAAGGAGTTGGAAGAAATGATAGAAAATTTGGAGCCTCATATGGATGATCCAGATGTTAAAGGTATTAATCTGTTAAAGTATTTTTAGTTCCAGGTGGTTTCAAATAGATGAATTGAGACCAAGTACCAAATGCTTTTTCTTCTCTCACCCTCTGCTTTTTAATTGAAATTGAATCTTAATATCCTATAACTAAGTAAATTGCAGAATTGCCAAATTACAAGTGACATTCAATAATCTTTGCATGTAACCTGCACATTTTTAGAAAATACATAGTGCATCAACTGGGGTGTCGCTTATGTACTGCATTGCAGGGTGAATCCTTTCCTGTTGTAGCCCTTCAGAAAATCAATTATCTAAACATGGTTTTTACTTTGGGAGGAAATACCCTATGTAGGAAAGCCCTTGCAGTTTGTTATTTGCATGTAAAAACTACATGTTAAATAAAAAGACACAGTAACCTAGCTCTTAGTTACTCATCTACTAAAAGTCTTCACAAGAGAGCGTTCCAGAACTCTGGAGGCAACTTTACCAGTAATTACCACTTTACTGCTTCATCATTAATGACACAGAATGCTGGACAGTTTGAATGGCGGACTGATTGAATAGCAGGTGGTAGTATAACTTAACTGAAAAGTGATTCAATTCAAATGGTTATCTGTCAACAAACAGCCTTGCAGGTGTACTGTGTGTACTTTTAAATAGAAGTTGTAGGAACAACTAGTTACCAAACCATCAGTGCCTTTTAATACCTTTTGATCCAAGGCATTCATTTTTGTTTGCATAATCTGTGTTAACTTTGAATGTGGCTGTCCTCACATATCTCTTCTTATGTACCTCTCTTCTTGGCAGTTTTCTCTCTGAATCTGTTATATGTTCTTGGATATTGATGAATGGAATAACGTGGAATATCCTGGAAAGCCTAAACACCCATGAAACATACACATTTTGTTAGCAAGGTTAATTACTATGTTAAAGGTGTTCATTTCAGTGCATTTCTTTATGAATCAGCAGGAAACAGATTAGCTGCCTTCCTCTTCATTCAAAATATGGCTTATCTTGTCTGTTTCATAATAAGCTTTCAGCCTTCTTGAATCCTAGATTTCTCCCATGACCAATTCTCCTAATTTACACATTTTAATCCATAGATTTGTTTAAACTATAGCCATTTAGGGTTTAGAATGTTGCTGCATGTAAAATACATATTTTTTATTTTTTTAATATAAGCAGTTCCTCCTGAACTCTTAAAATAATTGATATCACAAACCAAATAGTGGGTTGGGGTATCTCATTAGTATGTATTTTATTACCTCAGTTTAGTTGTGTAAGTTTGAAAATCAAGCTTCAAAAGTATCAAAATATATCTTAAGAAGAAGTATGCTCTCTCCGTTTTGATAGCAGATTGATTTTGTCTTCTGGAAGAAGATGGGTTTCAGCTGCAGAATGCTTCCTAGTCTGAGTAAAAATCCATGTTGGTTAATGCTGAATAGCATCTTAACCATTCTGTTAGAACATGTGATTTAGTGCTTTAAATATTCCATAGGCAAATGCTCTGTGGAAGGCTTTATAAAAATACATTGGTAGCGTCAGCACATAGCAAGTTTTTCTGTGAAATGAGAAGGAAGCAGGCTGAAAGAAAGTAAGGGCACAGCAGGAAAGTAGGACAGAGAAGTGGCCAGCAATAATATATGTTAAGGAATGTGGTGTCTCATGTTTGTTTGTTTAGTTTCATTTTGATACTGCCCAATAGCTGAAGCTCTCTGGGCAGCTCACAACAATATAATGACATAGGCATGCATGCATGCATGCATGCATGCATGCATGCATATATATATATATATATATATATATATATAAAAATAATAGGGGCTCCCCACAGCCATATGTAGGCATAGTATGTATGTCATGACATAGGACAAGTTCGACAGGCCCCCAGCAGTGATTTGGCAGTTGCCACATAAATGCTGACAAGTTTCAAGTAGTGAAAAAGAACAATCTATTGCACTAACTCAAGCAAAAAAGAAGGCTCTATATTATGCTATAAGGAAATGGTATGAATACCAAAATAAACTGTAAAACTTGAAATTTATTTGCATAGCCTAAAAAATGACCCAGAAATTTCTGGACCTCTTTTTCCTGTTTTTAAGGCCAGTACAGAGAGTGCTTCCCCGGTATGGTTTAGATCAGCAGTTGGCAACTTGAGTTGTTTTTACTGATAACTTCAGTTGCCCTAGCCAGCAAAACCAACAGTGAGTGAGGGTTGTTGGGATTTGTAGGCCAAAATATGTGGAAGGCCACAAATTGCTCAGCCTTGGTTTAAGAAGCTGCTGTTGCAGTGGATTTGAGCCTGTGTCCCCCCCCCCCTCCAAATCTTGTGTGACATCCAGATAGAAGTCCCTGATTCAATTGCAACTTCAGACTTAATTTCACTAGTCATCCTTTGGCAAGCTACTCCCTCTTCACCTCCCTTTCTTCTCTCTACCCAAGCGGCAATAAACTGACTTCCATTTGGAAGGATGATGTAGAGACTGATATGAGGAACTCTTTAAACATTTAGTGCACTGTATAACTACTGCTGTCAATTCTGTGGATAAGTCATACAGAGAGCATGTAAGTCAGCAAGATTTTCTTAGCTGTGCTCAGCAAAGCCCAATGTAATCAGCAATTAGTTCCCAGTCTCTCAGTTCTTCCAGTTGTATATTCAACACTGAACCTTTGTTTCAGTTTTTCTCAAAAGAACATTCTATCCCTTTGAGTCTTTTGAAAAGTCCCCAAACCTAGGCAGAGCATCACCAACACAGTGACCCATGTCTCAGTTGGCAAACCACCAAAAATAATTGTTTTCCCAGTATGAATTGCTTCTTTCATCTCAGCCAGATTGAACAGCTTCTAATGCAGCTCACTGTATAGCTGCAGGAGAACCATACAGTCAATTTTGTTTATTGACAATGAGGCTTTTAGTTTGGGGTGGACAGTAACAAGGAGTACATCAAACTATACAATGAGATAAACTTCCCTAGCCACTACTAATATTTTAGAAGTATAAGCAAATGGGTGGTAGATGCGATTCCATCATTTTACTATCAAATTTGAAAGACTATAGAAAGCAAGTGAAAATTCTTCCTACAGTGACTTATCATGAAGATTAAACAAAAAATTGGGCTCCTTTTTTAGTTTACCTTGTTCATATTTCAAAACATTGTTTTTTTGGAGCCACCTTAATTTTAATTATGGAAGAGAATTGTGGTTTCTCAGTTCTACTGATATTTCATTTGATTAAGCATGAATGTAATTATTTGTAACAAAACAAAATGAGGTACAAACAGCAATTCTCAAGGTGTTGGGTAGTGTAGTCTTGTGACCACTAGGGAGTCTAAACAGCCCTTGAATTATTTTGGATTCTCCACTGTGAAGTCTGAAAAATAACATTGACCTAATTCCTTGCAATCTGTGGTCTGATCCCATTCCCAGACCTTTCAGCTGGTGTGAGGAAAAACACCTTAACTACTGCTTATGACCTCTTGTTCCTCTCCATCCTGTAGGATGCCCATAATCCTGCAAGGTTGAAGGATTATGGCCATGGCCATACAATTAGTGAGTAAAGGTTAGGGAATAACCTAAGCTTGCTAAAATGGCAGCTTTTTGAACTTACAATGTTAGAACAAGGCTGGAATTTGGAATCTTGCATTCCAAAGGGCCAATAAAACTTTATATAGTACAGGGGGGAAGGGGGGGGGGAACACCAATAAGAGGGGAAAGGTTAGGATGGAGGGTAAAATTTTCTTTAGATAACCAGAGAATACATAAAGAGAGGGTAAAACCTCTTGAGGAACTGAAGGAGTAAAGGGAATGCTGAGAGGAAAGGAAGGCTTAATGGAATTGGTAGCAGACAGAGGGCTGTATCTATGAGGAAACAAAGGGACAAGGCAAAACCCCTGGAACTATTAAGGGTCTTCTCTTAGCTTTGTTGGGACAAGATGATTTTGAGCAGTTTCACATGTTTGTAGAATGAAGTAAAATTATTTTCAGACATCACCAAAGGTCTGCTTGGCCACAATCCTATTTATTACCTCCTTTGAGGTTAGAACATCTGCTTATTTATGGAGCAGCATTTTCCACCATGCTCTTTTGGCAATGTAATTTGTGCTGTTCAACTTGCAGCTTTCATTCAGTGCATTAAAAGCAACTTTTCTATAAATTCAAAATAGATTTCAAACAAAACTATGTTAATCACCATTAAATACTATTGATATTTTATCATTTATATAATATATATATTTATATTGTACCAATAAAAGATCTAAAATAAAGGAAACAGGGCCTATAACACAACTCTTAAGAGCTAGCTGGTCAAACTAAAAGCTAATCAAAACTGCTATATGTTGCAGCCTTTCAGAAGACAAATATTTCTATTTATTAAATGTATATCCCTTCTATCCTCCAAGGATTCTCCCCCATGTTTATGTTATCCTTATAACAACTCTTTGGGGATAGGAAAGAGTGAGAAATAGTGACTGCCCCCCAGTGAGCTCCACAGCTGAATGAGAATGGACCAAGGTCTGAAAAGATCACTCCATAGCTGTAAAAGCTATTTAGAATTGTTGTAAAGGCTTTCTTAGTTGAGTTTCTTCTCTCCTGTACTGATGGACTATGAAGCAGGACTTGATTTACAGTTGCAGTTGGTGAGAGGGTTGATTAAGGGGAGAGACAGTTTCTGTATGTGGCAAAGACACTCTGCCTGCATAGCATCTGCCCAAGGAGGTACTAGACTATGGAAATGTTGGTGTGCTGACTGTGGAGAGAATACTCTGACATATTCTGTATTCTTCCTTTCATTTTGTAGCACAAGTGGAGGTGCTTTCTGCTGCCCTCCGGGCCTCAAGTCTGGACCCATTGGAGGAGGCTTCTGCGGGCACTGGGAGGTCAGCAGATTGTCCAAATGAACTGACCATCAAAGACCAGCTGAATTGTAACTTAAATCAGGATGATACAGTGCCTTTAATCAATGATGCTGTTGAGGTAAGTTCTTCACTTAGGAATGCAGCAATTCAAACCCAGAGCTTAACACAAGAGATAATTTCATTTTTTAAAAAAATGCTGTAGTACAGTGTCGAATAGGCATTCATAGGTGCTGCAGCATATACCTGCATAGTAATTTGTGTGTTTATTTTCCACAACAGGACATTGTAGAATCTGCTCTACGTTATATTCATAATGATTCTGACTTAAGCACTAATAGTAGTTTCAGCCCTGAAGAAGAAAAAAAATCTAAGATTCAGGTATTTTAAAGAGTTTCTTTCTCATATATCTGAAAACTATACCTTCATAGAAATTGATTGTGTGTATAACTCACCATTAATCTCTAATATCTATAAGCATCACATTTTGAATTGATTGTATGTACATTATGCAGGTACATTTTTTTCTTCTCCTGCTTAAGAGAGCCAGTGTGGCAGAGTAGGGAGACTGCTGGACTAGGGACCTGGGAAATCCAGGTTCTTGCCCTCTCTCAGTCTTGGGGCTCCCGGGGTGACTTTGGGTCAGTTGCTCACTCTCAGCCTAACCTATTTTACAGGGTTGCTGTGAGGAAAAAATAGACTATCTATCTATCTCTTTATTTAGAACATTTCTGTGCTAACATTTCTAACATTTAAGCCAGTTTGGGTTCCTCACAAGAGGAAACAAGGCAAGACACAAATAAAGTATAATACTTATTAAAATTGGAACTCAGTGTCTCCTTGTAAATGTTTGAGTTGCGAATTTGAACTCTAGTTGGCCAAGCATTGCTGTCACTTGTATTTATGCATGTAAAGAACAAGAAATGGCTGTACCATGTCAGACTCTCCATATGTTTTGCTTTCAGGACTGCTGGCATGTAGACACATTAAAAAGTTGAAAAATATGGTGGTAGTCAGTCCTCTTCCTTAAAGGTCTCTTTTGTTCTCAAAAATGAGAGGAAACAGTGTCAGTGAGTCATTCTCAATAGGTCTGATAGTTGGATGAGCACAGGCTCTAATTCTCAGCTGCAAGGTTCTCAGAAAGAGGTGCCCATTGGAAGTAGCAATGCAAATGTATGAGCTACCCAGTGAGCTCATTCCACTAGAGGAAAACTACTGCTTGTAGAAATCCCGTTTTCATCCTTGCAACAGTGTCAGATCCACTCCTTTGATTCCACTTTTACAAGATTTTCTTCAATTCATTATGATCTTACTCGGCTTGTTGCTTGTGTGAGCTGTTCTGCTAACAGTTGTGCAATCACTAGTAGAACAATTGTACTGCTTGTATGATCCATGGGATGAGTTGAGAGCACCTGATTTAGACAAAGGGTGTTGGCTTTTAATTTGCCCATGAATCTTTAAATCTGGCACGTGAAAAGTTAGGGGCTAGTATTTTGTTTCTACATTTAATCATTCCAAAACAGTATTTCTTTACACTATTTGTTTATATTTCCTTATCTAAGCAGATTCTGGAGCAGTGAACAGTAGAAAGCTAAAATAGAAAAATACATTAAAAACAAGCTAACATTAAAACGATGGCTGGTCAGCAAGAAAGCCTTCATAGAACAAGGATGTCCTCAGCAGGCACTGAAGATGGCACAGTGTTCGTGTCTTTCCTGATCTCCAGAGGCAGGAAATTCCATAGAAGGGTGGCTGACAAGCTCTCTGGGTGGAACTCCATTGGGCCATGTGGGAACAACCAGGAGAATATCCTGCAAAGGCCTCAGTAGATAGACAGGTTGATAAGGAAGAACACATTCTCTTGGGTGTCCTGGTGCCTAGTTTTCAGGGCTTTATACACTGGTATAACCCTAACATTACTGCCTCACCGCAAAGCCAGTGCAGTTCCTTCAGCTTTATGCTTTCTTGCTGAATATTACCAATGTACTTCCTAATACAACTTGCACAGAAAATGTGTATTTAAAATGAGTTGTGCTATTAGCAGAAGAAGGGTGAACATAAATGGAAGCTGTAGAACATTTGCTCCAGTTCTGTTCAAAGTCCTCTTCAAAACCTGTTTTGATCCTTCTGCACTGACTAGCCTTGTAAGATCATTCAGCTGTGGAACCATCAGTGTAGGGCATGTTTGTTCTTCCACAAAAGAGGATGCCTGTAGGAAACTGAAATCTGCTCCAAAATACAGCATTGGTTTCTTGTCATTTTTATGAATTATTTCGTACAATGCATTCGCTCAGAACATATTTTTGAAATCTGCTTTCATTTTAGGACATCGTACCTCAGGCCTTGCTGGACCAGTATTTGTCCATGACTGATCCTTCTCGAGCTCAGACTGTTGATACAGAGATTGCAAAGCATTGTGCCTACAGCCTTCCAGGTGTGGCACTTACCTTAGGTAGACAGAACTGGCACTGCCTGAAAGATACTTATGAGACTCTAGCCTCTGATATGCAGGTAATATATCAGCTCCTAAAAGAAACTGACTATACAGTACTCTTATGTGAAGTTGAATTGTCGTGATTTGGCTTTCCTAGTCCTTCATAAATAGGCCTAAGGTGCCTAATAGATATAATGGGATAACAAAAATATTGGGCCATTTCTTGTTATGATAGCAGCTGGTATTTTTTTCTGAAAACAGAGGTGCCTGTGAAAAAGGAGTACTCACTGCTAGCGTTTGTGGATGTCTGTGCTACATACAGGAGAGCACCTGTTGGACTTCTGCTTCATCTAGTCATATGATAGCTCCCTAATAGATCTGCTGTAAGATCAGTTCACTGTGATGTAATTGCTATAAAACACCACTTTTCCTGTTTAAATGTCACATAATAAACAAGTGTTAAATCCACTTAGCTATTAAGAAAATCCAAAGCAAGGATTAGAAAAGTACTTTACGCTGACATTTATATAAGAGCTTCCTGTAGCTTTCATTCAAGTCCAGACTTTATCAGCAGTGTAGGATTACTCTTAATACTTCTAAAGTTCCAAACAAAGTAGCAAAACAGGATTAAAATCCCAGTTCTGTGTTCCATTGTGAATACAGCCCTGCTGCAAAGGATATCTCATCCATGACCCTATTGCTACAGTTTTTAGGGCTGCCTCCTCTGCTGGTTTTGCAAAATCACCTAAGTTTCCACTGGGAGAGGGAGATAGGGCATCTTTTGTTTTCCCATAATGCCCCACAAGTACGTTAGCCTTATTTAGCAGTTTTTCCAGTTGTCTTGAAATACCATGCTAAACTAACTTGTGTTTGTTTTGCTTTAACATGTATGCAAGGAACCTAAACCTGGATTTGCAACCATTCTCTATAATTTGTGGATTAATTTCGCTTCTCTCTCTCCCCCCCAGTGGAAAGTTCGAAGAACATTGGCATTCTCTATACATGAACTTGCAGTCATCCTTGGAGACCAGCTTACAGCTGGTGATTTGGTACCAGTCTTCAACGGCTTCTTAAAAGACCTTGATGAAGTCAGGATTGGTGTGCTGAAGCATTTGCATGATTTTCTGAAGGTACACATTTTTCTTTTATGCGTATGAATACATTTGCTTTTACTTTTCCTTGCATAGGTCTGTGATACTAGATTATGAAATGTATAAACATGCAGTATTCTTTATAATACAAAAGAAAGTAAAATTTGATGGTTATCATCTGCAACAAAACTGATATAGGTAATTTCTGTTGTGATTTATAATTACTTTTTGCTTCATTGTGGTGTTTTGTGGAGTTTTCAACATACTCTTCGGAATATCCTCATTTTTTACAAACATGTTCAGATGCTGTCAATTGGTTTAGCAGTATTTATGATCTGCATAGCTCTGATAATATGTCAAATTATTCTGCAGCTTCTACACCCAGATAAAAGGCGGGAGTACCTTTACCAGCTTCAGGAATTCTTGGTCACAGATAACAGCAGGAACTGGCGTTTCCGAGCAGAACTTGCTGAGTAAGTTTTAGTAGTAAATAAGTTGTTCGTTACATAGTTCTTTGGCATCTTACTATGAATTCTTATTTTATCAAATTAGTACATCCTAACTACTGCTGCTTTTATCCTCACAACCTTGTGAAGGAGTTCATAACTGAAAGCATGAATGGTCCAAGGCCACTAAGTAGCTTCATGGTTGAGGGCAGGTTTGAGACTAGAAGAATCTTTCCTCTTCTAACTCGAATTGCAACACCTGAACTGCTAAACCACACTAGCTGTCAAGTTTACAAGATTATTAACAAAGCTGAATGCCTGACAAAAGGAATGGGAAAGCTTAAGAGCCAGGTTCAGGTTTTATAAAATAATACTTGTTTGCTAGCAAATATTTCGATATTTTAAGCTTTAAACTGTGGCCTAGTCTGTTCTGTGAAGGGTGAGAGAGAAGCCAGCAGTTCCAGGAACTGGCTGTCATTCAGCCTGCCCCAATTCAGCCTGTGCCAAGCTCCAATATAGGGCTTCAAAAGTCAACACTCAGTACTTGGAATTATGTTCACACACTAAACAGGCACCAGTATAGCTCCTAAAAGATAGGTGTAACCCAGTTCCACTAATAAACCAGGGGTGATTGTTGGGTGATTGCTGCATTTAACCCCTAAGCAACTCAGAATTCCTGGTTTAGACATTACAGTAACACCGTATTTGTGGACTGTTGATTTAGGGAAGCAGCAAAATGCATAGGAGGCAACATATTGGCTGGCTACTGGGCAAGTGCAACTATGAATTAAGCAACCTAGAGTTAACCATTGCATGTGAACTGAGAGAACTTGTGCAGATTTTTTAAACTGAATTTTAAATATTCCAATGTGTGATCACCACTTTCATGATTTCCTACTAGTTTTGGCTCTTTGTTCATTCTGTTCTTGCAGGCAGCTGATTTTGCTTCTAGATTTGTATAGTCCCAGGGACATATCTGATTACCTGCGACCTATTGCTCTCAACCTTTGTGCAGACAAAGTTTCCTCTGTTCGCTGGATTTCCTACAAGCTGGTATGAGCTATAACATCGACATTACAAAAATTGAATTTAATGTGCCCATTTGAACAGATAATCCATGCATTAAGCCCTTTAAATGTTTTCTAGGTTAGTGAAATGGTAAAGAAGCTATATAATGCTCCAACATCAACATTTGTGATAAACCTCATGAATGAATTGGTCGAAAAGTTCTGCAGATGCCAAAAGTGGTCTGGCCGACAAACATTTGTCTTTATTTGCCAGGTAGGATTGTTGTGAGTTTTCTATTGCCTTATTTACCACTCATAGCCAGCAGCTTGTTTGGCTTCTCTGTTTTCTGGATTGTGTTTTTTTCAACCCCACTGTATGGAGACGGTTATTAGAGGACTGGCAGGACTGAGGGTTTAACTGGATTACATTATTCCTGTTATTGTGCGTCTTACTGAGTGGTAAAGAGCTCTCAGAGGCTTATCACTGGTTGAAGCTAATAAGGCTGACCATTCCTTTGTTCGAATTGAATGTATTTTACTATCCAAAAATAGACTTAAGACTTTCCTTGTAATTGGCTGGCTATGTTAAAAACAAGAGGTTAAAACTGGAAGTGGAGGGACAATACCCAAACCCAAGTAAAAAAAGATGCGAAGCCTCAGAATGCTACTGACACACACATTTTCCTTACTATTTTGAGGTTTTGTCTCTTTTTTTCTTATACCCAGCTGTATTAGTGGACAGCAGTCCCTTAGCTATTCTTGGAATTCATATGGTTTTATTTTCTGTTGAAATAGAAAACAATTGCTTCATTTTTCTTTCAGACTATTATAGAAGATGACTGCTTGCCAATAGACCATTTTGCAGAGCATCTATTGCCCCATTTGCTGCACTTGGCCTCAGACAGAGTTCCAAATGTTAGAGTCCTACTTGCAAAAACATTAAGGCAAACACTTCTAGAGAAAGGTTGGTGGCAGTACAGTCCTGAAAAACCCTTGCTGTGTTTCTCATTCTGTAAAAAAATCCCTCCCGTCTCTGCCTATTTCCTGTGCGAATGGTCTTGCTGTTATGTTTAGTGTTAGCTGGTGAAGGAACCCCTGTGCCATTTGTTGTTGTTTTTTTCACCCAAGGTAGACCTTTATGTTGGAAGTGCTTTCAGCCTGATGCCAGTGAGACTTTCTAGGAGCCGGGGTTGGCGGAGGGAGAAGACTATCTGCATTACAGGATTAGTCAGCTAGGACACATAGTGGCCACCACTGTGTAGTGACGTCATGGTAATGGTTGCCATGGCTTATGATGCCATGTGAACTTTGGTGAGGTTGGGCTGTCAGGCATAGCAGGCCACCTATAACCCACAGGCCATAGTTGGCTTCTGGGATGGTGTGTTCACCTCAGCAAGCCACCCTGCCCAGGTTTGCATTGACAGTGGTAGCTGCCCAACACTGTACCCTACTGGACCCGATTTAACCTTTTCCACATCAGTTTCTTCCTATTTCTCCAACAGGTTTCACTGGAAACTTGGTTTAATTTTAACCAGGTTTTCTGCCAGCACAGCCTGTAGTCTCCACATTTTCTTTATGCCCCAGTGGGTACCTGCACATTATTAACATTATGGCTATAATTTGGAAATGAATGTGACAATTCATTTTCTGAATCAAAGTGGGGGAAAACTGAGTGGTAGCATATGGTAGCTTTAATGACCCAGATCCCCCCTTCGACTTGTGTTGTGTGTGACATGGTCCATGTTGTTCAGGACCATTGCTCAACCCTCTAAGAAGGGCTTTATGGGGAAGAGAAAGATGGATTCTCTTTGAATGCAACCATTTGGCTTGGATAGGCATTAGCTTGCTGTGTTGTTTGTATCTGTTTTGGGATTGTGTGAGACATATGACTCAATTGTGGTACTGCCTCTGCCCCTCCCCCCACATTTTTTCTTTCTCTACACAGAATATTTTCTAATGTGTGTCAATTCCCATCAAGAAGCAGTGGAACAGACAATTGTGGCTCTCCAAATGGATAATGACAACGATGTAAAATACTTTGCAAGCATCCACCCTGCCAGTACTAAAATTGCAGATGATGCCATGAGCACAGCCTCTTCAACTTACTAAAGTAATCCCTGAATGTTACTATAATTTTAATTAAAAAAACATAATAAAAATCCAGGCAATCCTCAAGTGCTCCTAAAATGGATTACTGAGACCTTTTTCAAGGAGAGAATCTCTTGCCAGATTTAACTTCAGTTGGATGTTATTTAAAAACCTAAGACCAAGAATTTAGAGAGTCAAGAGGAAAAAAAATAAGTATTATCTGTTGAATCCTGACTCCAGAAAAACTTTGCTCAGAGGATTGTATTTGCCACCGGAGCCTTAAATCTTCTGTCTTCCTGAATATGTGAAACTTGAATGGGCTGAGCATTTTCAGTGTAGAAGGGATATAATTTCAAGAGACCAGAATTTGTTTTCTCCTGAGGAATTCACTTAGGAAATATTTTTCCCCCCTTAGGAACTGATAGCTGAAATTGTCATAGCCTCTGAAGGCAGATTTCTATCAAGAAGCAAGAGACACCTCCAGTATTAGCTATTAAAGTTTTTATCCTTGAAAAGACTTAATTTGTGTGCAGCTGGGCACATCCTTAAGTGTGAATAGTTTTGATGCGTGTAAATGAGGGAAAAGTAGCGATTTGGTGTTTGTTTTCTCACCTAAGGGCTCAGTGCTAACACTATACCAGAATCTGATTTTAATCCTTAAAACAGCATATTGCTGTATCCATGAGCAGAAATCTACACTGAGTACTTGTGTCCTGATGTTTTTTTTCATGCTGGTCATGACCTGAAGGAAACCTATTAGCACATGTACTTCAAGTCAGGTATTTTTAACTTGATCATGAACTTTTTCTTCATATACTGTACATATCTGTGACCACTCTTGGGAGTGCTGCAGTCTTTAATCATGCTATTTCAAGCTGTTGTGATAAAATGTTCTCTTCCTTGTCCAAATAAAAAAAGTATTCGTAAGAGTGAATGAAATCTCATTTTCTTAATTCTATATAAAAGTTTGCAAATATATAATGATTTTATAAAGTTTCTCCTTTTCTGATCCTGATAATGGTGTGTGCCTAAAATTGTGTTTAAATTAGCATGATAAATTCAGTCTGTTTTAATGTTAGTTCATGTTTTTTCTAAGTATGAGAAGTAGATATCCTGGTTCAGTTAAAAATTGTACAAACAGTTCTGAAAGTTTAATCTAGGACTCATAATAAGAAAAAAAAAACCCTGTATTTATTCACTAGTCATAATAAAAAGTCCAGCTTGTGACTTCAGCTTTTGCCTCCTGGATATGCACAAATGACTTTTATTTAGATTGTGGCAGATGTAACTGTACACCTAAGCACAGAGTTAAGATGGCCTCTAAAATCATTGCATTAACGCTACTTAACAAGGCCTGAATCCTTAGGCCATGCTCTTTCATTGCCTTGCCCTTTGCAAATGTTTGCTGGCCACTATCTTCTTTGTATGTATTTTTGTACATCCAAACATATGTCTATGCACACTCCCATATCAATGCGCTAGTCAGATAAAGCTTTTACATCAGGTGCAAAATCTAGAACTCTTGAGAAGGGAAAATTCTGGGTTACTGCCTGAGTCTTGAAAAATGGCTGTATGGTCAACTTGTTTAAATGCTGTCATTTTCCATACATTTTGAAAGTTCTCCCTCTAGCAGATATACCTACTTTCATCCAAGCTAGTTTCTTATAACACTTGGATTTCCGTATAGGAGGAAGGCTGGATTGAAAAGCACTTCATAAAATGTGAACAGTGTCACATGGGCTGTTCCAGTTCTCCAAATCTCATGCGGACTTCTGGTGTTTATCCATGATAATGGCTTGCTGTTTCGATCGCAGAAGTCGGCTACACATTACCACCCATGCAGTGTACCCCTGTCCCTTTCCTAGTGTCCTTTGTCTTGTGTGTATAAAGCTGATGCTTCCGCTGTGCTCAAATGCTCTTTTAGTGTTCTGCTGTTAGTTCCTTTATTATTTCATAGACATTGGGTGGAATGGCTGTTTGTATTTATGTCCTGTTCTTCCATGGCGTTTACTGTACTTTCTCACTGAAGGAACCAACCAAATCTATATCTGCTTCACTTCAGCAACACTGTGCCATGAGACCACTCATTGCACCCACTTTGGCTTGTGACTAGGATACAAGCTTGAACTGTACTCTGTTCTCACAAAAAGGTTAGAATAAAATGGACAATGATTAATTTGCCTCATTCTGAATAGAAATGGTTGACTAACCCTTTTTCTTTAGAGACAAGCTAGGGCTTGGAAAACTGGGTTCTCGTCCCACTTAGCCATGCTCAACTAGGTGGCTTTCCGCCAGCCACTGCTTCTCAGCCTAACCTACATTGCAGGTTTTTTGTGAGGATAACATGCAGATGAGGAGGACTGTGCATTCCACCTTGGGTTCTTTGGAGAAGGAGGAAAGGCAGGATATAAATGTAAGTAATAATTCATTATTACCCATCATGTGGCTTCTACTGGAACAATGTTGTGTTTGATCATTTGTCAACCTTATTAAAGCAACCCCCCAAGAAAAAAATACACATTTCACCAAATACTTCCTCTACCAATCATCAACTTCCTTTACCTTATACCAGTACTGCTCAAAGTTGACTGACAAACTAAGTCACTTGTTTCAATACTGTAGTGCTAGATGCTGTAATGGAATACACCAACATTTACAGACTTCATCTTTTTTTCTTTTAACTAGGTCATCATGGGGCTGCATGTGTTTGTGTACCTCACCTGAATTTGGATCAATCCTTGGAATCTTTATTTAAATCAGCCTTTCTCCTTACTGAAAATCAAAGCACTGATCTAAATAAATGCACCCAGCCCTAAAGGCAACTTACACTAGAAGAGTGACTTGAGAAAAGAAGCAGTGAGTATGTAAGGACAGTGGATAGTTCTGAAATAAGCTGCTCACAATTTGTGCAAGAGAAGCGCATCAGAAACTCCTACAAGCAGTCTGATATTCCTTAGTGACAAAGCAGTGTGTGAGAATAACAGTACATCTGCCTAGGATAAAAAGCAAATTCATGTTAAATCAATGAGGAGAGGCAGTCAAGTAATGGAATATCCCAAAACAGCCATCTTTGCACCAGCTCTCATCTGGCCTACTTAACAGATCTCTTTAGATTGCTAGCTGGTGCAACCTTTTAAACACACAATCATAGAAAAGAGTGGGAAAGGGCCAGAGGACCACTGGGAGGCCCAAATGACTTGGGAGAAACTAGCACAAAGAGTCACCACCTTTCCTGTACTAAAACTTGCTGATCCCAAAAGACCTATAATGCCATCATTCTGTACTAGGGGAAGGGAACCCTTGTTAAGCGATGTTGCTACAAGAATTATAAGCTAAGGGGTAGAACACAGAGGGTTAAGCCACTTCAGAATATCTGAAAGAGCCTTCAAATTTCATTACCAGCAAAATGGATGTGCAGCAGGTGGGAACTGGATCGTGCCAGAGTACTGCTCATTTCTGTTCCTGTGGACTCTCATTAAAAGGAATGTTCTTATCTAAGTACTGGGGGAGGGGGAAAAGCCTTTTTACAACAATGCCACACTTCCTGAGAAGGAAGAACATACCACTATTACAGTAGTGACACAAAGTTGACAAATTCCCCCCCTCAAAAACGAACAACAACAACCTGATCCAAAAAAAGTTCAGCAGTAACTTGAAAGAGCACTCATTTCATCCTTTGCAGAGAGCTCAACCTAATACCTTAAGAGTTCAAGAAAGAATTGACTAATAGGTAAAAGTGCCTGCTGCCAGAAAGCTTCCCACTCAATGCTGTTGGGAGAACAGCTGAAAGAATGCAGGAACGAACAGCACTCCAAGGAGGCAGGAGCCATTTCTCTGCTGTGCATAGCAGCTTGTCATGGTGAGCAGTGAAATGTAACTCAGTTATTAGGAGTGGCCCCACAGAACCTAGAGAGCAAATTTTGGCTATCCAGTACCTGTAACTTTCAACACGTGATCAACCATTGCAGTATGTTATGGCCTCTGCCTGTGGGCCAAAGAAACTAGATTTCCTTGGGGTGCCAATATATTTGTTTTCTGCAGTTAATAAAACCATTGACAGATGGATGTCAAATTTATTTACTTGATTAACATGGTCTTGACAAAAGATAAGGTTACTCAGCAAGAGATCTGCTTGATGAACGTTGATTATATCAAAGTGACAATTTAATAGAAATTAGTGTGAATTTAAAAAAAGTTTAAATACTGCAAGAAAATATAAAAGGTATGTAACAGGCCAAGGAAGACGCTTTTATGCACATCAATCAGTCTCCATAAATTCTTCAAGATTAAAAAAAATATGCTATTCTCTGTAACGTATCTGAAAGTGTCATTTGTACAAAAATCAAATCATGGCCAATGATTCACAACAGTGCAATAAGCAAAGAAAACTGATACATCAAAAATAAATATGCAGACTAGAAACTAAATAAGCTACAAGCACCCTGTGAAGTTTTGCTCAATATTACTGAGATGACAATTTCAAATAAATTGGCTGTTACTGAAAGACAAAACCTACCTTACATTTCAAGGCTGGCAGCAATAAATAATCACAAAGCAGCTGAACCCTAATTCCCAGCAAGAATCTCTTGGCTCAACTCCTTTGAGAACACCTAAAGGGTTTGAACTTTTGTACACAGGGAGATACATCACTTGCTTAGGGTAGAGATTAACTTTCTGCAACCAAGCCATGCAGACCACCACCCTCATCACAGAGTCTGTGTCCCACCACTTTCTGGAAAGCATGATAAGCTGCAGCCCTCAACTCGAAGTCCCGAAGGGCCTCAGAAGCACTGAAAGACTGCAGAGAACCATCAACCATTCCCATCCCAGTTCTAAGCTTGAGAAAGGGGCAGGCTGTTCCTTGGATCGTGCTACGTTTCCACACCTTGAGCACCAGACGCCTAGCGCAGCTACTGCAGTGATGCCGAAGCCCTCTCCTAAACTCAGTGCTCACCAGAAGCTCAGGATAAGGCAACTGGGGTGGTCCACTGCAGCGTTGAGGCTTTTACTAGAATTGTCTGAGCACTGCAAAAGAGCAGTGCAGCAAAATCAGACCCAGCCATTGCCCATACATGGATCCCCTGCAGGATCTTACTGTGTACACATTTTGGGTTGACTATCACTAAAGCGTCATTCCAGAAAAGTTTTCTATTGTAGTTTTCAGCTCTGAAAAAGAAAAATGAAATTTCAGTCTGCATTAGGAGGTTGTTCACGACACATGGTGCTTGTACTCCCACTGCTAAGTAATTTGACATTCCCCCGTTAATCAGTCCTGTAATTAAGTGCATTGCCAAGGTTCAACAGCTCTTCATGGACCACTCTCATTTACAGGAAAACATCCATCTTTCCATTTTAGTTTTAGACTTACTTTCATATAGTTTTTTTAAACGTCATATGAAAAGGCTGACAATGTTAAGTAATTAATGCTTTTGCATTTAAAGACCTTCCACAAATATATTTTATAATGCTTCTCTGTTACCAAAAGGCACAAGCAAGAGTGAGCAAAAGAAATTAGGATGAATGAGAGCAAAGTAATTCACATAGCAAGTAATGAACAATTATAGGTGGATATAGCAATTCTCAACCAAAAGCCACTTCATACAGGATGTTTTAGCCACATGGGAAAAACATGGCCCTATCAATCCTGGCTGCATTCATAAATGTTTTGTCATCACCAGCAAACAACTGTTTTGTGGTTCCCTACATGTGCACATGGCAAAACAGACACAAGTATGATCTGCACATGTCACACACAGGTGTGTGCAGCTTTACAAATAAGTTACCAGTTGAAAAAGTTACTAGTTAAGAGGTTAGTAGCCTGCATTCCATCCCAACTGAAGAGGAACAGAAGCCCTCATTGCTGCGGTCAGCATGGATGATGGCTACTAGCCTGTGGGCAGGCTAAGAGAAAAAACAGTCTTCCATTAAGGGGAGAAGAGAAGGAGCCATCCGACCCCCTTCCACCAGTTCACTTGTGTTTCCCTGCTGGTTGTGGAGGATGGGACCTTTCATACACTAAGCTAGCAAGGAAATAAAATGGACTGACTGGCAGAGGATGGTCACAATAATCCATCTCTCCTCCCCCGTCTGGTCACTTGCCTGCACAGAATTCCAGGTTGAAATGGCTTTGAAATGAGTGGTTAAATACCTGGTGTGGTGTGTGGTTTTACCTACACCCGTGTAGTGAGTGTCATGTGTGAAGCAGCCTGTCAGCAGATATTCTCATGCTTCAGCACAAGTCAGTCATTTTGAAATAAAACCTCCGCTGAAGGTTGTCCAAAGCCAATGTTTGACATGGCCAAGTAACTGCTCTGCTGTACCCTCCGGATCATCTTCCACTGCTTTGCTCTTCCAAGTAACCTGAGCCTGATAGGCAGGAGCCACAGGTAGGAAGGAGACAGGATGTCTCCAGGGTGTAAAAGAACCTATTTACAGAATATACATGCCTCAGATTTACAGTAAGTTGCACAGTCCTGGCTTTGCCCAGGCAACATCCTGAATACCTTGGGAATCCAATTAAATTGGAGTTTCCTTTCTGTCTTTGCTTGGTGATGGCTTCACTGGTTCCTTGATTGCTTTTGGCTGCTCTTTTGCTGTTTTTGTCTCGGCCATAATTTCTCTTGGCGGCTGTGGTGGTTGTTGTGCTGTGCCTCCCCGTTTCTCAAGCTCTTCTTCTTCCTGCACCTGCTGCTCTGATTTTGCTCTCTGCATCTGCAAGAGTCGAAGCTGCACTCGCAATTCAATGATGGCCTCACGTTCTTCATGAATTGCTTGGTTCAGATGGTTGTTCTTAATCTTTACTCAGCAGAGAGGAGGAAAAGGGTCACTTCAGTTACAATCAAACAGCTACTTATGTGACTAATGAATCATTTATACAGCATCACTCACTAGAGCTTTTCCTTGGAAGGGAAGCAAGTATGTTCATGTGAGAGTAAAAGATTAGAATGAGGCACATGGAAAATCCAGCCATTTTAACTGGACATTTTGACCACAGATTAAACAGCAATACAAGACACTCCTAACTACCCTGCCAACTCTCTCTGCTCATCAAAAGAGGTCTTTGTACTAATTCAAAGTTTAAAATGTTTTAAACAGTCACTGGAAAATTCACTGAACATTTTCAAATGGTCTGTTCACACAGGACCTTTTACAGTTCATTCTGAAGTTGTACGCCTCTGTAAAATAGTACAGAAACTAAGGGAATGCAGTGGCATATAAAGACCTCCATTTAAATCTTGCTTGCAATCCTATACTTGCCTACCTGTCAAGTTCTAGGAGGAAGATGAGGGATTGCTTTCCTTTGTAGTGTTTGAAAACCATTTTCTCAGCTATCCCTTTCATCTTCAAGATACGGACAAAAATACTCAACTACCTTTCAAATGTTTTAAGGATTACTGAGAGTGTTATGAAGCTAAACACTCCTCAAGGGCTATAGTTTCAAGGAATTAAACACCTCTACTTTTATTTTCAGTCCACTCATCAGGTAGGTCTATTTATTTGTGACTGTTAATCTACTTTCACCAGGATCAAGTGTGCTCAATCTCACTTGATTACGGAAGGCAGATTAGCTTTGCATGCTTTCAAGTTGCTCACCATGAATAAAAATCCAGATACCATCCACAGGGACTGGATCTTGAAAAGGCGCCCCTATGTTAACAGACAACCTAAGTGCTATCCTATTCATTTAAGCAGCTCTCTGGATATTTGAAAGGCAAATGAGGCCAAACTTCATATCACAATTCAGTCTTCCTAATATTCTCCAGGCACCTGGGTGGCTGGATTCAGGACTGAAAAAGCAAACAAAGCAATGCAGGTTGCCTGTTTTCGCTCAAACAGGAAGCCTTCATCTGAACTTGGTCCTTTATCTGTTCATCCATCTGCCTTCCTACCTCATCTCCTGAGATCATGAATAGTCTTTTCCAGCACTTGGAAAACCAATGGGGAGGATGTATTACGAATTAGGCAGAGTGCTTTCGTAGAGTGGGGGGCAAGTTTCTTGAAGGGCAGATTCACTGAAAGCCCTTAGCCATTGCCACCAGCAGTCTTTCCCGCAGTTTGCTGGAGGAGAGGTGAGAGCCAGAGTGGCCATTCCACTACCCTGCTGAAAAACTTAAATGCTTTCCCTCTTCCCTCCTTAGTCCTTTTTCCTTGCATTTCATGTCTTTTTAGATTGTAAACCTGAAGACAGGGACTGTCTTGTTTTACTGATTATATGTAAGGTACTCTGAGAGCCTCTGAGAGCCTTTTTGGCTGAGAAGCAGGATGAAAATATTTTAAATAATGATACATAAATAAATATGCTTCGTGCCCAGGGAACCCATGAAAACCTGGAGATGACCGCACATCTGTTGAAGGAGATAAAGAGCACCATTTCCAAATTAATTGCCAGTATAGTTTTTACTACTGTGAGCGGTGTGGAGAGACAAGAGTTTTTCCACACTGCAGAGAATGGGTTAGTCATAATTTAAAGCATAAATATCTTCTTCAGTCTTTGTTTATCACAGCTCTTTCATTACATGGGAGACTAGAGTGGAATGCATACAGTTCAACGGTAGTTTCATTTTCAAACTGTTTATCAAAGGCAGAAGAAAGATCAGATGCATATGATTCTTAAATAAACACATACATTCTGTAGGCAATATTGCGACAAGAGTCCATGCTGACTGCGAGTTACTTGTGCAGTGCCTGTATTCAAGTACTACCTCTACCTTGGACTCATTGGAGGGCACACGACTAATCTCTCTCTCAAATTAAAAAAGGTCTCCACAAACATATGACTGTTTAAATACTAAACACTGAACTTGCCAAATACATATGACATGTATTTTAAGTCCACCTTTCCACAGCACATTTTTCTAGCTCTTGCTGCATCTATACTGCCATCATTGTGAACTACAGTAAAATAACCATCAATGTACTTACCTTTGTAGATATGTTCATCATTTGAAAATCCCTACCTTACACTTGCTGACCACTGATTCAACTGTGTTAATAGTCGCAACAAAATTTATGTAGCTCAAAGATCTATTGTCCTAGTAAAGCCAATGGAAATGAGTAAAGAACGGTTTCTGTCACAACTCAAATATTTTTTTGTTTTGGTTTTCGAATTGCCTATGATGTATCTATCTTTACTATTCAAGGTATTTCCATTACAATCAACTAGTTGTGAAATTATTGCATTGTTTGAACAACTAAGTTTTAACCAAGCAGAAAGTTGTCACCAGAAATCAAATCAACTGTGCCACTCTCTTCCTATCTAGTCAGACATAATGGAGTTTGATCCAGGCAACTGGGCATAGGATTGCAGTCCGAGGAAAGAAACCCCGTCTGAGGCTGAGCTGCCAGAACACAGTCGTCATACACTCTTTAAAATCACCTAGCTGAAAGAGGCCTCAAAGATCATCTCATTCAACCCATGGCCTAGGTGGAAAATGCCACGGCATCCTTGATAAGTTGCCCACCCAGGTTCTCCCTGAAAACCTCTGGTGACGTAGGAAAGTCCACTGCTCTCTTAACTGCTCTCTTCCACAACTGAGAAACTATTGATGTCAGAAAATTGTATCTAACTATCCAACTGAATTTCAGCAGGAAATCAGAAGTTCTCCCATTGCCCAAGCAAACGCTAAGTATTTTGTAGAACAGCTGGCTTACACTGGTGCAAAAGCAGCACCACAGGGCACAGCTGGATACTATCCAAACAGGTCTTCCTTTTCCTTGTAATCTGAACCCATTCTTTGGGCCCTATTCTCTGGAGCAGCCTTCCCCAATCTGGTGCTCTCCATGTTTTGGACTTAAATTCTCATCAGCTCCTGGCAATGCTCAGGAATCCAGGGAATTTTAATCTGGAAGGTTCTGGAGCAACATAAAACAAACCTGGTCCATCATCACTATCCAGGAAGCTTTCGACGGCATAGAAATGTAATAAATACATAAAATCCATGTGGCAGTGTTGCAAATCATCTCGTCCTCACCATTCTACAGTTATATGAACGTAGTTTGCAATAACTCAGGCTTACCTCCAGTTCTTCATTTTGCCTTTGCAAATCTTCCAAGATAATCTGTAGTTCTTCCTCGTCTTCACTCTCACTTTCACTTTCAGAAGAATATTCTTCTGTTTCACTTCGACCATGCTGGCGACTGAAATGTACAAGTGGAGATTTCTATCATTTATCGCTACTGACCTAGTGTGTTTTACAACATTCTTCAAAGATCTTCACGTAATGGACACAATTTAAAGCACAAATGCATGCACTTAAATGAACACTGAAAACAAACTATATATTAACAGAGACTCTCAAGATACTGCAGTTACAAAGCAAGGAGTTAGCAATGGCTCTATTTTCAAACTACAGAGGTACAGAACAGTTACCATTGATGAGGCTATTAAAATGATTAGATTTTAGTTAGGTTTAAGCTAAAGGATATCGTGTTAGGATGATATAGGGGAAAATTTGTGAAGGAATGTAATGTAGTCATCTTTCAATGGCACATCTTCCAGTAGAACTAGAATTTGAGTTACTGTTTTTAAAATGTTGGGTTAGATTTCAAAGTCTAATCAGAGAAAAGTTGTATTACCTTTGCATTTCTACTATTTCTGCTCGAAGGCGATCTATCTCCTCCTTCTCAGTGGCAATCTGTCGGCGCAAAAACTGCTCCATTGCAAGCAGCTCTTCTTGTTCTGTCAAAATCTCATTCTCCTGCAAAAGGTAACTAGACTATTTCAGTACGCTCTTGAATGAGGGATATTATATTGCAATCAGCAGCCCTGGTCCTTAGTTTATTATTTCCTTTTTTCAACCAAAACCAGAAAATGCAGCTTGGCATGCAGCTGGGTAGGAGGGGATGGAGAGGGGAAGGGTTGTTGGTGTTTATGCACAGGGAAACATGTTTTTTGTGGGAAGGAGGAAAGTATAGTGCCTCACAGTGCAAAAACATCTCCCCCTGTACTATTCTAGACTGAGACATTTATCACACATTGTTATAAGAGAAAGCACCTTTTCTATTTGATCTTTAATGTACAAAACCAGCCCAGTGCAGTTACAGATTGTATGCAATTTTATTCCAAACCCCAGGTTGGAATGCTGACAGCTCCAGTAAAAAATCCTAGTGCACTATATTTTGCAGAAATGCTGAGTAAGCATGATAGGAATATACTGTATGATTTGGCTTGGCTGTATTGCTGTAAAATATGGCTATTATTCATGGGGTACCTGCATTGACGGATGGGGGTGGGCCAACAGAATGATGGGGGTCAGACTGGTGTTTCTTAGACACCTAAGGAACTACTGGGGTCTGTGACTAGAACAAGGGCAGAACTGCAGAACATGCTAAATGGTAAGGGAATTTGCTACTGAACCAGCTACGGAAGGAGCAGCATACAGAGATGGCCAGTGAAACTGCAGAGTAGCAGCAGAGATAGTAGGGATGACTACAATACAAGGATTTATTCAACACATCCTATTACTGGTTGTTTCAAAGACTTATTGATGTGTGCCAGTGTTGATAATGCACAAGCCAATGTTTGGAATCACAAGCTGCCTAGAGTCTTCCACCTCAGCTCTCAAACTGCACAGATCCAGAGGCCCGAGTTAAAAAGGAACTGTTTTGAGACAACTGCAAGAGGCCCATTAAATTCCCAGGACCACTGAAAACATAATCCTTACTAGAAACACAGACGAAGTCAAGACTCCCAGGGAGCCAAGAAATTCAGCTTAGGTGCAAGCAAGCAAGAGCCGCTTGGCTTATTTTTCCTTTTTAACAGGAAAATATGCCTTTCAAATGTGAACATTTGTTTCTCTCCATTTTGACAAGGTTCGAATGAATGGCAAAAAGTTTCCAAAAGTTAACAACAGGAGCTACCTGAGCAAGCAGGATATTAATGACCTCTTCATTCTCATTCATTTCCTCTTTGGAAACATCCTCCTTTGAAAGGCTAGCTATCTCTCGTGCAATTTTTGTTTCACACTCCTGCATTGAAAAAAATCTTGATTAACGGCTGCTGCCACACATAAACCATATGGTGAAATTCAACCCCATTCAAATAACATCTCATGGAGTTTTTGAACCTGTAACCTTACTGGAAAAAATCTGAAACGATTTCAACTTCCTAAAATAGCATTAGTCGGTTAAATTAATCATTTGTTGTCCTTTCTAGGTCAAAAGGTGGATAAATTAGTTCAGCACACTGATTTTCCAGGAACAAGCACACTGTAGGTTCTCTCCAACAGAAAAAGATCAATTGATCTATGTAATCCGATACTTCCACATACCTAACTGGGCCGACAAAGGCAATGCCTGTTACGGTATTTGCATCCAAGGCAAATACAGCAGACCCCTGAAAGAGGTCTATGAGTTCAGATTCCCAAAGCTGTGAAGCTGAAGGGCAGAAGCCTGAAGCTCCTTGAGAGGGAGTACATCACATGGCACAGCAAGTCACTGCCTTCCCAACCGAAAATAAAGCATAAGTAGTGAGCTATCAAGAATCTACTTCACTATTTCAGTGTATCGGCTATTCATTAAACAGAGTAGGGCACAAACACTTCCAACAAGGTCTGCCTGGCACCGTCATTATTTGTTTTTCGGTGCCAGGCCAAGACCTTTTTATTTAAAAGTTATTTTAATTGTTAATTGTAGATTGCATTTATTTACTGGTTTTTACATTTATGCCGCGATGTCTCTGGATTTTTAAGGGTGTTTGTATGATTGTTTATATATTTGTTTTGTGAGCCACCCCGAGGCTTTTTGCGAATGGGGCGGCATAGACATGTTCTAAATAAACAGACAGACAAACAAAAGGATGCCATAAGGATCCTCACTCAGGACCTGAAATTCAACCCTTGTGAATACAAATCAGAACCACTGCATCCTCCCCATGATGCAATGCTAACCAAGAGCACCTGTGTTGCACCGTCAGGTGAAAGCGAGTCTTCATTTTAAAAAAGAGCAACACACACAACATTCTGTGGGATTTTCTGATCCATCTGACTGATAAAGGGCTTCCACAATCCTGTACTGCACTTAGATGAAATTTTTCCTAGCAGGAAGACTGGGCTACTCAATTTCTCCTACATGGAATGGAATTGAATGGTACTTTAGGTACAACTGCGTTAAGCAGTTTCTTTCACCTCAGCTAAAATAAAAATTGCCTGCTTTCCTTCAACATTTTGTGGATTACAGGAGTAATATAAAAAGATGCTTACTTGTCTTTTTGCTTCCCTTAGCTTCCTTTTGAGAGCGGTCAAAATTCTTTGCACTTCCCATAGTCTCTCCTCTTTGGATAAATCTTTGATCCCCACCTGTAGGTCTCGGTGCAAACAGTTCAAAAGGAACTCCTAGTAAAAGAAGTATACCATATTCAGCAATTTGATTCACTTTCCAGACTTCACACCTCTTCTCCTACAAATGGAACATAAGGCCAAAATCAAGTATTTCATTCTGTGTCAAAGTACGCTTCCAAGATAGTTCAAAAGAGATTCCTCATGATACTAAGGCTCCAGGAATCAAACATTTAACATTAAGAAATCTTCAAGGCATTCTTTTCTGAATAACACAGTCACTGGTGATTATGCAACTAACATAGCACAAAGATTATATTTAGATTTCTTAATTTCTGGAAATATTCATAGGTGTTAAATCTATTGGGACAACTTCCCTGCCAAGAATGCAAATAAATTTATTTTTCTAACCTATCGCTTAAATTCAAGATTTTGCAAATGCTTTTCTTTGTACTCTAACAAGGTACTTTTGGCTCTTTTTCTTTCAATCATTGATTCTGAAATGGCTTTCTAACACTGTAGTGTCTTCCCTCACAGGATTCCTCCTCAGAGCAGTCTGAGGTCTGTCATCATCTCTTCTGTATAGCTTTCTGTATATTCTTTCCACCTTCTCTTTATTTCCTTCTTGTTGGATAGTGCATCACCTGTTTGTCTTTTAGCATTCCAAATCTAGGTTTGAATTTCCCTTTGATTTCTTGGATCTTCTGGAAGAGGGCTCTCATTTTTCCTCTTTTGTTTTTCTCTTCCATTTCTCTAGCAGTAGCATTACACTGGATACCACTCATGTAAATGAACACCATGTCTTTGACATGACCATACGTTTCGGATCGTAAGTGAAACATATAAGAACCTTAACAAGAAAATAGAAAAAATGGAAACGCACCCCCCTCTCCTCATGTAGAAAATGGTAAATGCAAGTTTGGCAAATTATAGTAGTGACAAAACAGAGTTATAAGATTGAGGGATGGAAAACAAAAACAAGTTATATAGCTAAATAGTTTCTTACTGGCTATATACAATTTAATATATACTATATTTAGAATTAATCAGATGCATAATATCTAATATAAAATAAAATTAAAAAGCTGATACAAATCAATTATGAGAGAAATGGAATAAACTGTTTCAGTCCAGATAAACATCAACAGAAAAGAATGGATTTCAGCTGAAGACCAACCTGTCTCCTAATTTCTTCTTTGATGCTCTCTGGTGTTTCTGGTAGAGCCGGCATTGTAGCCATATTAGACCAGCGAAGAGGCTTTGTCACAGGTTTTAGAATCACATTTCCAAAGAATTCTTGGACATGAGTGAAAAGCATATACAGGACACGGTTGCTGATCTGAGAAGACATAACAGTCACAAGTGCACTTCAAAGAGAAATGTCTGACTACCGCCCAAACATCTACACTTTATACCAAATTCTAATACACCTAACATGTATAAACATTTTTTCACCTTTTGTATAATGTTTGAATTTTCTGTAAGATGAAGACTGAGTCTGAAATCATCTGCTGTTCAAGTGTAGTTGTAATTTGATCTATTTGGCTATCTCTTATTTTTGTACTTTTATTAATCACACAATTATCTGAAAAAATAACAGTTGATATATTGGAATGCAACAGTTAGCAAAAAGGAAATATGTCCCCCAAATCACTATTTCATAACTCTGAAGGCTTAGATTCTTCAGAGCTGGAAGCAGTCCCGAGGTTTATGTGAATGGGACAGCATACAAAAATTCCAGATAGATAGATAGATAGATAGATAGATAGATAGATAGATAGATACTCACAATTCTGGTATGTTTGTTTTGTTAGTTTTGGGTTCTGAAACTAGACCAGATCATCTTCAGGGTTGGGAAGGAATTTCCAGCTAAGTATGTATGGTTAAATAAGTGGTCTTCGATTTTTTCTTTATTTCCCCTTTAGGTTTTGATTTGACTTGCTTGTGTAATATGGGGCACTCCCCTTTGCGTGTCCCTTTCTGTCACACACCTTCTCCTACTTTTCAGTGCAACATGACCTGGCATGCTTGAGTTCATCTCTTACATAGCTCATATGTGGAGCAGTCTGTGATAAGGTCAAGCGTGGACTAAATGGTCTTTTCACACAAAGTTCTAGGACAATGGCAGAAGCGAGCCAGGAAATCTGCAAGGCCCTTTCTGGTAATCTTTCCTTTTTTCCTTTCCATTTAACCATTGGACTTATGCTTTTTAGGCCATATTGCTCTAGTTGAACATGTTTCTCACAACTGATATTCAATGTGTTGCGTATGCATCTCTGACATTCTCACATAACAGGAACCAAAGACATTAGTCTGGTCAGTTCCCCAAAGCATTATAAAACTGATTAAGAGCAATGTGTGCTTGTATGTTTAGAAGTATTCAGTGCTGCAACACATTTTGTTAATCTACGGCAGGGGTGGGTTTTCCAAATATTTTTGCCCTACAACACTCATCAACCTTCACCACTGACTATGCTGCCTCAGGCTGATGGGAGCAGTGGTCCTCCAAATATTTTGGCCTACAAGTTGCCTACACCTGGCCTAGAATGCTGGACGCTATCCACGAAAAGATAGCATATTGTAAGCACAATGGCTGCATGTGTATTTTATTTATTATTTATTTATTTACTTATTAAAACATTTTTATGTCATGTTCAACTATGGCTTTGTGAGGTGTGAATGAGCCTGGCCTCCTCACTCCCCCTCCAGCACAGTGTTGAAGCATCAACTTTTGATCAAACACAGCTTGCTGTGTCATCAAAACGACATTAAAAAAAATTACCTAATCTTCATGTTGAGGACTCAATGCCATTGTATCACATGAAAAGATTTGGACTGCACTCAACCAACTGGTTTGACAACATCATTGTTCAATAATAAAACTGAAACTGGACTACAACAACTGCAGTGGTCATGCAAATGCCAGAGGCTCTACAGGTCTTTACAGGCAACAATCTCACGCAGGGAGTTTTATATATTTATTTTCAAGTCTCTGGCACTCCTAGTTTTAGAAATCAATTTGAATAATATGACAGGAAAGAATCCAAGATAAGGAGGCAGGCTTTTTAAAAGTCAGTGTTCCTGTTTTCCAATTCATCACTGCTTACAGCTAGATTAGCTTGCTCACAGCCTTTGTATATCATATCTATATGAACAAGCGCACCCAAACCTGTCCACCTCCATTTCATTTCGTTGATCTCCTTAGATGTCACTGTGAGTCTAGGCAGGTAAATCTCATTGAATGACATAATGAAACCTCCTCTGGTTAAGCAGCTAATTAAGACTGTTAACTAGAAATTAAGGTACACTTAAATCTGAATTCAATTAACCAATTGTTATATTAAAACATGGTAAAATTGCCTGCAACAGTGCTTTCTAAATAACTCTTTCCCAGTGCAAATTGTTTTGGCTTCTTTGGTTCTTTTCAATCAACTGACGATGTTAATGCACTTCAAAGATGGAAATAAAAAATACATCCATAAATATAGATTAAGGGCACTGGAATGTATGGCTATCATACATTCACCTTCTTGTGCATATGTGCACACGTGTACGTACACACACATCAGGCAACTAAATATGTACAGTGATCTCCGCATCCTATATTGAGTCCTGTGTAGCTCTTCGTGCTAAAGACATTTGATCATCCTCCGCTTTTAACTATTTAAACTGGGACTTCTTGGGATGTGAAAAATAATAGGCTGGTAAACTGCCAATCCACAGCAAAATAAAATCCAATCTAGTGCTAATTAAAAGCCTATTTTACTTCTGACTCAAGTGTTTAGCAATGTTTGCCCACATAACTTCAGTTCAATCCTATGCATGCTTATTCAGAAATACTTCCACATTTCAGCATGATGAAAAGATTTAAAAAAGTAAAATTAAAAATAACCAGCTGTTTGGCCTGAGATGTTAGATTCCCAAGTTCCTACCTAATCTGTTATCAGCATGCCAAAAAATAATTGTTATATCTAAGTGATCCAAGGTGTTAAGCAAATAAGTAAAATTAAGGAAAGGGAGACTATCTGAAGCTCTGCAGTCTCAAGAGTTTTGGTAGGCAATGTAAGGGATAAAAACCAAATTCTGTTTTGCTAAGCACTTGATCCTTGTGTGGGAGCATCCATATTGTCTTAGTTGGCTTTGTACCATCTGGAACGATGTGCTGTGCAAGTACAGGTACCTTTCTTAGCACACCTGCTCACTAACAGTGGTGTAACAATCTAGAGTTGAGGCTGAAAAAGGGTAGATGGCAAGGGGCGGCATAGAAATGTTTTAATAAATAACTAAATAAATAAATAGATGAGTCCTTTCATGGGACCATTAAGTTTGTCCTGTTGGTCCCCACCAATTTGTATGAGGGTATGAACTTCACCTCAGTGAAATTTAGATCACCTCCGCCAAGTTCAGAACTGCTTGTGAAGAATATGGGAACAGAGTCCAGCCTTCCGATAGCAGAACTGCAACGTATGAATATAGGCAGCTAGGCAAATCATGACACATACAGAATGAGCAAGGTGATTTCTAAAACTTCATTTAAAACAGCACTTTAAATATATGTTGGCTGGTACATGTACCTGAACTGTTGGACTTAGCACTATGGAAATATTCTGGATGTTCATTTTTGTTTCCAACTCCTTTGCAATGACATGGTCCATGTGCACAATCAGCCAGGAGATCAGGAGAAAGTTGCACTCGGGCAGCTCCTTCAGGAGACGCTGGCATTCCTGCAATTTGTCAGCCTCTGTGCTCTTCCCACAAGCATCCTCAAAGCGAGGCATCAGCTCCTTAGTAAGCAAGTTTTCAGGCAGTTCACGGAGATATTGTTTCAACAAGCTGGCTACAGTGTTGGGTTCATATTCCTCCAGGTTGGGAGATTCTTCTCGGTCATATGCTGCTTTTAGCTCATCCACCTTTGATTTAATTCCTTCAAAACATTTGGAATTATATTTTTAAGATCTGTGGATACAATTCAACCAAATCTACAATATTTAATTTAGATGGCCATCATCTTGTTTTATTTATGTCTATATTACCTGTCCGATCTATACCGGCTCAGCATAGCTGACAGACTTATGAAAAACTTATTGTAAGGCTGATAGCTTTATTGCAGGAAAAATATATAGTAAAATCCAACTTTTTATCTACTCAGAAGTTAGTGGGGCTTACTCCTACACAGCTATCATAGGAGTCTATCTTTAATAGCTAATGAAAGCTCTTCTAGCTGCCATGAAAAATGTTCCGAGACTCGTCGTTAGTACTATCTTCATATTTGTACAGCCACAAAACACTGGGTAAACACTGATCACTGAGGAAAGAAAGGGGAAGAATAAAAGTATGTAAACTGGAAGGATCAAAGGAGAGAAGAAAGGAAGGAATGATGGGCTAATCCCTACTTCATGAGAATAGCAGCAGGTCAAGATACAGCAGTGGTCAGTGGCCAATGAGAACTTTCGGGCTTTAGAGGGGAACATATCCTTTCATCTTGTCTTCAACAGTCAATTTGGCAAAAGGCCAATTCCATTATTAACCTGCTAGCAAGAAGAGGAGGCTTTTTCTCTCCTGAGGTAGGTGCAGACCCCATATGTGTGATGCACAGAGACCAAGAAGAAGAACTTTTGCAGGATCTGAGCAGGCAGTGACTAACCAAGAAAGAGATCTTGCAATTGTGGTGGACAGCTCAATTAAAATATTGATGTGGCCCCTGTGGAAAAGGCAAATTTCATGCTGGGCTAAATAGATAAAGAATTGTAAATGAAAATAACAACAATATAACACTGCTCCAGTCAAAGTTATGGTATGGCCACACTTAGAATAGTGTAAGTTCTGGTCACCATATCTCAAAAATGATTCAGGTGAGTTGGAAAAGGTGCAAGAAAAAGTGACCAAAATTATCAAGGCAAGGGAACAACTCTCCTCTGAGGAATCTTAGAGCATCTGAGACTGTTTAGCTTAGGAAAAAGTCTAGGAATAAGAGACACAACAAAGGTGTACAAAATTATGCATGGTGTGGAAAAAGTGGACAGGTATGTGTTATCCTTTCTCAGAATATAGAATTCAAGCTTATCCAATAAAGCTGAGTGATGGGAAAGTCAGGAGAGGTAAAGGAAGTATTTCTTTACACACTGCCTAGTAAAACTGTGGAATTCACTGGAAAGCCATCATTTTGATCACTTTAAAAGGGCATTTGAACATTCATGAGGGATTATGATGATGATTTAACATCTACACCACCCAACAGCTGAAGCGATCCGTGGCTGATAGTCATGATGGCTCTGCATGCCAGCCGCTGGGAACACAAGTGGGAGGGTGCTGTTGCAATCACATCCTACTCATGGGCTTCCCACAGCCAGTTGGTTGGCCAGTGTGTGAACAGCATGCTTGGCCAAACAGACCTTTGATACGATCCTGCATGAGTCCGTCTGTGCAGGTTTATTCTCAAGGCTGTTATATTGAAACAGAATGGCTTGCTTCTCTTTACTGTTCTAACTGTTGCCTGAATGGTTTCAGATGTTTGCATGCATTCTCTTTCAAGCCTAGATACAAATCAGTGCCCAGTTCCATTATCAAGAGAAACATTTTACATTAACTTGCTTTTGCAGTGGCAGAGACAGGCTTAATAAAGAATAAACGACAAGGAACCTCCATTACCAAAAAGCCCTCCAAGGGAAAGATAAATTACTGTATTTCTGGAAGAGACCATGCCATACAGTGCAAGAGAAAGTGCAGCAGCAGCTTCCATATTTGCATGTCACTAACAAGAAATGTTCGCATTTATCTCCAAAACAGTTACTTCCTGTGCAGTTGTTGCCTTTAAATTCTGCCTCTGAATTTGCCTTTCACATCTTGTCAAAACAATTCATGCACTGCATTTAGATTGCTGGCATGATACGTCTCACAGGTGGCAATCAAAACTCAAAATACAGCTGTATAATTAAATAAATGACTCAAATCATTGTTACTTTTAAGTGGGTCGAGGTTACACAACTACTGTGACTGTTAATTATCTTGGCATGACTACAGGAGGTTTTCTTCAATCCAAACTGAAATCCTCAACTGATGTTCAATATTTTCTCTGTGTTTTAAGATACTTACTAATGAGGACTCTGTGTATAAATCCCTTTCAAAATGAACATACATGAAGAAAAAGCAATTGAATATACTATCTGGTATACTGCTAGATGAATTGCTTTACTACTGGCTAGCACTACATTTTTAATATATTGTAAATAAAAATACATATCAAACGGCCAAGACAAGACCCATAATTTCTGATTATGTATAAATAGCTATAAACTTCAAACTGTTTATACCAGTATAGTCCTACTGAAGTCCACTCCTTGTTTTAAGGAAAGGAGTTGGGAAGTACCACATGCCAATTTTCCCTTTCCATCACAAAGACTTGACTGTCTTATTTTTAGCTACTATGTTCAGCAAGCAGGTGGTAGATGGCTCAGGAAACTGCCTGGAAATCAAAAGTGCTGCTCTAGGAAGGCAGAACTTTTATGGATCTCTGTCCTCAACTAAAGGATACTGGAATTGCCAATTTATTTATCTATTATATTAATATCCCACCCTTCTTTCTTCCAAGGAATTCAAGGCAGCTTATATCGTTCTCCTCCTTCTCTCAGTCTTATTCCCACAACACTACCCTGCGATGTAGGTTGAGCTAAGGGTCTGTGACTGGCCCAAAGTCACCCAGTGAGCTCCATGGATGAGTGGAGACCAGAACCCAGATCACCTGAATCCCAGTCCACTGCACCACAGTTCACTTCCCCATCCTGCCTGTTCTGCTATTTGGGCTTTTTTGCCCACTTGGCTGGAATGTGTTGGAGGGAAGGCGGCTGAAGAGGCTGGAAAGGCCTCAGGATACCTAAGTACTTGGGTTCTCTGGTCTGCCCACTAAAACACTCACTTCTCCAAGGTGGAGTTCCCAGTGCTGGAGAACAGCCAACGCAGAATCACGGAAGAGTTGGAAGGGGCCTAGAAGGCCATCAGGTCCAACCCTCTCCATGTCAGCTGCAAAAGAGGTCAGTCAGTGCTCCAATTCCTCTCAAGGTGAGAGTGCTGCTTCCAAACAGACTAAACCCAAGACAACCTATGGTGAACCCAAAATGCTCCATAGGATTCCTCCCTGGACTATTTGTGGAGTATTTTCAACTGTACCTATATTTCAGTGAGCCTTCCAGTCTCAAATTTTGACCCAATTATAAATTCAGCAGCAGTTACAGGAAACTGTTGATAAAGCAAAGACACTGCCTTTAGGAAGTGGTGAGGATGGAGAGCTCCACTGCGACTTCTCATTAAGACTGAATGAAAAGAACGAGAACTCTACGTTCAGCTGAGCCACTATTATTATTACCTGAAACTCTGTAGATGCCTTCACATTTCATGCCGTACTTCTCCACATAATCTATACATTCCCGGAAAACTGCTGGCAGGCAGATGCCATCATACAACATGGTCCTTTCTGCTGCATCTGCCAAAGGGATTCCAAACACAGGGCGATGCCTGGGGACATCCACTGGTGTCACCTCTGCCTCTTGAGCAGGTTTCTTCTTCTTCTTCTTCTCCTTCCACTGTTTGACTACATCTGCTGCTGTCAAGTCTTTCGATTTTTTCTCTTTATGCTTTTCTTCCTTGTGCTTATCCTCTTTATGTTTTTCATCTTTGGGTTTTTCTTTGATCTTAAAATCCTTTTCCTTCTTTTTGGAGAAACTTGGCTTCTTGAATACATGAATCCCCTTTGAGCGCTTTAACTTGGAGGGACTTTCGGCTTCATCACCAGAACTGTCTTCCTGGAAAGCTGCATAGCCTTCCGCTACAAGGGAAGAAAGAAGTCATGAAGTACAGACAGTGTCAAGTACTTAACCTAGTTAGAAAAAGGAGAAAATGTCTTGTTAAGCAAAACTGATACTTACCAATGCACTCACTTTATCTTAAGCAGGAAAGTACTTGTGGCTGATTCAACATCAGAAGGATATACATTATATCCTTGTCAGAAGGATATACATGAAAAATTTACCCGATATATACATTTTTCATGAGAGACTCATGAGTAAGGTTACATGCTGACCCCGACACATGGAACATCACTACAATCTTTGAATTAACTCCAACTTGCAATGCAATCCTTAACATTCTGGTTCTTTGAAGAAAATCTCACTAAATTCAGTGAGATAAGCAGACTTAGAAAGCTTAAGAGTTGCCAATTCTGTTTTAATCATACAAGACAATACATGGGCATGACAACAACAAGAATGAATTGCAGAATGAATTGTATCTAGGTTATTTCTCAGATCCTGGCTGATTTCAAAGGGGGGTGGGGGGAACTGTCCAAAAATGTCTAGTTCCTATGATCAACATAATATGTTGTCACAGTCTCATATCAACATTTTCGCAAGCAACACTAAAAAAGGCATGTGAAAAGCCCAAAGGATACAATCCCAATTCTGAATCAGTGACAGCTTTGCTAATGACTTCAGCAGCAAGTAAAGGATTATCATCCAAACTACTTTGAAGTCATATTTAGAAAGAAAAATTTCCAACAAAAGTTCTTTAGGTCTTTTTTGTCTAAGCATGAACATAGGATTACACCCATAATTGATCACTCCTTTTAAAAACTTTTAAACCAGATAAACTAGAATACAAATTTATTAATGTACTCAGGCATACTCTCTAAAAAGAAGGAAAACTTACTTTTCAATTCAATAGGAAAAGTTGTTTCAACCATCCTGACACTTCATCAACTACTTGTGCTCATGTGGATTATGTAAACTGCTTAATTTACATGTGATTTTAGACTCATACTGATAGGACAAACACTTATTTCATTGCAAATTATTAGGTACTTTACAACTTCTGAAATGCAAGCATAGGAGTCTAATAAGCTACACCTCTTCTGCAACCAGCCCTGCCTATCCTGTAGGCAAGAAAAGAATAATAGATTTTTTGAATGTAAACACACACCCATCACTAATTGCAGCATATGTGCTATAAGACATAGGAGGGAAAGGTTCAGAAAAGGTTTCACAAGCAGCTTTGGCTTTTTAAGCTTCTAAACTTTGTGGAGAACCATCTTAAATGTTAATGGGACTTTTCACAATATAAACTGGAACAGAAATAGTACAGACTTTCAGAAACATGCTTGAACAAAGAAAATAATAAAGGTTTTGAGATTTCAGATTTTTAAGTTTATCCATTACTTCAAAGAGACGGTGGGGGGGATTTCTTCCAACATAAACAAAATCCATTCCCCTTTTGACTCACATATTCTGTTTTCCTTTTTGTGGGCCCACTATAGTTACTGCAGGCTTCTACTCTTCCCTTACAGTATAGCTCCATAAATGTCAAACTCCTTTACAACTCTTCATAACTCTTGGGACCATATGTCTCAAGTCCTTTCTCCAACATGTTAACTTTCTTAACTTCTGTCATCTCCTATAGTCACCAATCGGCAATTCTAAGCATATTTAGCTAGAGTTTAAAAAAAAAAAACTAAACCAAAATTAAACCTTCATTGTACATGGTGGAACTTACTTCCAAGCAAACCTGTATAGGACTGTGCTGTAAGAAACTCAAATTCTGTACATTATCTGTCAGAACTTCAGAAATCAAAAAGAAAATTCGAATGCCACCATTTTAAAATTTTTACAAAACCTGGACTCTAAAAGAGATATTAATATTTAACAAAGTGCTAACAAATTAGAGGTCATCACTAACAAAAATTGCAAGATAGCTCCCTAATTCAGAGCTAAGCACCTTAATTTATCTGCGTGCCTACTTACTCTTCTGTATACAAAAAATGTACAGTGGTTATCGCAGTAGAGAACCAAATGCACCACCAATCAAGACAAAGTTAAAAAGTAACTTATTACCTTAAAGTGAAGATGACACTATATCACTGTTCCCCTTTGGAAACACATTTACAATCCTTATTTAGATGTTATAAACAGTTTACTATTTTTACAAATAACCTGACAGACTGACAAATGGTAAGGAAACCCACACTAAAGGTTTGAGAAGAACTGGTGTTAAGTTTTTTATAGCAAATTATCATGCCTTGAAGAAGAGATGCTTACACTGAAAACATTTACACTGGTGGTATCCACTAATGTGATAAATAAATCCAAAAGTAATAAGTATCAACAAGAGTCACACATGCAGAAAGGTACTTGACTTTGCACAACAGCCCACTGTGGATAACAAACCATGGTTAAGTTGTCGCATCATTCAAGCGCAGCAAAATTTCTGCAGGGTGCTTTATAAAGGGGGTGCAAAAGTAGGTATAGAGTTATAGAGAGTTCCTCACCCCTTTTTCTTTTGGGGTGTTATCAAAGATAAGATATTTTCAAGAAAACTACACACTGTTGATGACATGAGTCAATTCATAAGAGAAGCATGCCAAGAAATTGATAACAATAAAATCCTCTCTGCCAAAATGCGCTTGAGTGTAGAAACTAGACTGCAGGAATGTATAAATGCTTAAGGCCAGCAATTTGAGGACTTAAGAGATTGTACTTAATTGCAATTTGTATGTCATCCTTATTGTGACTTAATAAAGCTATTGTTTTTATAACAAAAACTGTATATGTTGATGATTACATATATAAAACTGTATACCTACTTTTGCACCCCTCTGTATTTCATGAACCCTGGCTTGTTTTAGGCTTGTACTGACACATGATGGAGTGCCGTATTGTCTGAATCCAGCACAGCAACTGTATTGTGAACTGTTGGGTACAGTCACAGAACTGCTCAAAAAGAGCAGTAAAAAGCTACTACCATTCTTGCCGAAACCATTGCCAGCTTTTTACTCTCCCCTCAACTTGGTTTTTTTAGAAATCACTTATCATTATTTCCAAAGTGACAACCACACCAAACTACCCAAATAGCATACGGGGTGGTGGGAAGGGCTGTCAGTGGTTCTATAGTTTACTATTAGTTTACTATTTATTCACACAATAAACATATGCAAATATGTTTGTATATTTTTGACAGGGGTGGTGGTTTTCCACAGTTGCACAAGTACACAATTCTGAGTACCTAAATTGGGAATGCCTGCCTGGCCAGTATCCTGCTAAGTGCCCTCTGTCAAACATGCAGCAGTTCCCAACCATGGGCGTTGACCCAGAGAGCATGTAATTTGCCTACCTGGTTACTTTGTGTTTTTTTAACCACTGTCAAATTGAGAGCTGTCAAGAGAAAGCTAAACCATGAGGGATCTTTGCAAGTGAATGAAATTGATGGTATTTCCCCTCATTTGCAGTAAAGTAATCTGGGTTTTCCGTTCCCTGTGTTTCTTTGTGCCCCCCACACTTTAGTCACATTCCTGACTCTCCAGCCATATGGGAAAGTGAGAGCCATTGATGCTATCCTTTCTCCCCAAGCACTTCTTTTCTTTTTAAAACTATCTGGCAGTATCTATATTTGTATTTTGAAAGGGAGATGTGCAGCCATAGAATGTCTGTCTGTCTGTCTGTCTCTCTCTTAACTTTTGTATACCATCCCATCACAAATTTCTTTGGACAGTTCACAATAACAACAATAAAATAGAATACAGATAAAAGTGTATATTTTCTTGGTCAAAAAACAAACAGAAAGATTTAGCAAAGAGTTTTAAAACATAAAGGTTGTCTTCTGATAGCTGTCAAAATTAATGTTCATGAAAAAGGGACAGTCTCTTGCTCTTCACTTCTGAAAGAACTGGAGACTCAGGAAAGTGAAGAAAGGGTGGTAAACTACTGACAGCCTTTCAATGTGCTACTGGGCCACTTTGGCAATCACTAAAAGCATCTCCAAAACAAAAGCAGAAGGAAGAAGGAAAAAAAGTTGTGGTGAGCACAAAAGGCTTCATGATCATAGTTAGTAAAGGAGAAAAGGTGCTTTAGCCACCAAGTGCCCTAAAATACTACCTGTAGAACTGAGAAAGTCCTCAGTAAACCTAATCATCTCTCAGGTGCACTGTGTGTTGTTCAGTGAACAATCAACCCACTGCTAATTATTCAAAGGATGGGTTGTGGTGACACGAGAACTCAGCTACTGGGTCATGAAATGCAATACATATTAAAAAGCATACAAAGGTCATACAGATCAAAAAGCTACCTACTTCTTTTCTCTTTCTTCTTAAATTTTCCTTTTTTCTTTCCATGTTCTTTTTCATCATCGGATACAATATCTGGAGGTTCATGAAGGCTGTCATGAGGAGGTGAAGGCTCACCAGTTCGATATAAGCCAGGGAATTTTGTTGGGCTGATTTCTTCAGAGCTTGGCGTCCGGGCAAGACTCCCACCATGCTCCACCCTGCGGTGCTCACTAGGGCTGCTGGTCGGAGGCAGGAAGCACTCCGTCATTCTTACTCTCTGGCACAATATCCTGTTACCTGTCCATTATGCCTGCAAGAAGAGGAACAAGGGTTTCACTCAGAATATTCTACAGTGCAAGTAAATGCTGTCAGCAAAGAATTATGCATTGAACCTTGTTTCACAAAGAATTAGCCACATGATATAAAGGAAATTATGTATGACATTATGCACAATTGGGTACAAGTTTAGAAATCTGCAATTTAACTACAACCATACAATACAATGTAATTTACAAAATTTGTTAAAACAGCTTTGTAATACTGCCTGAAGGGATAAAGCATAGCTACATTCTGAGCTCTACTTTTGGGATGTGGCAAGCTAGGAACACCAGACTTTCTTTTGCAAGATTTGTCACCTGTCCCATACTGAAGACAATCACAATTTTCTGCTGGAAGTTCAATGGCCCAGTTCATACACAGCAACAAATTATTATTTTTTTAAACCTGAGATTGTCATGCACAGGACCCAATCACGCCCAAGGAAAGTGAGAGCAGCTAAACAACCCAATGATGCTCCACTGCTAGGTTGCTTAGTACAATGTGTGATCCAGGGGCTCCAGCTTTCTGGGGGAAAAGACAAGTTCAAGTTGGATACATCATGTTAACTAGTCAAATGATGGAAGATTGCTGAATTGTTTAACCACTCCCACTTGCAGTCGCACCAACAGCAGCATGTTTTGACATGTGAACTGGGTCAATGATGACAATATGATGGAAAGATATGGCACACAGTTTCATATGGACATATTATAAGGAGTGAACAATCCAACAACCAGACAAGCCAATCTGATGGGAATATATTCATTCTTGGCTTTCTTAGCAGGCTATAACACGAGGGTTAATCGGTCACATCCAGCAAGTCGTCAGTAAGCTATCCATCCTTAGGTTTAAATGCAAAATAGGGTAAAAATTCCAACTAATTTGAAATGGTCCTGGAATCTGAAGTGGATGATGGACAGTATATAAATGTATACAAATAAATGCTAGATGCTCTGCCCCAACAAATTAATTGAGGATGGGCCCTCTAAATAAATAAGCTAGTACATCACCACATCATATAACACAGATGAGCTTGGCTACTAAGATCAGGACCATTGCCATCAGAAGGGAAAACCTATCCTCCAATTTAGATAGTAATCAAAAGTTCAGTTTAAAATCCCATTTAAAATGCATTTATTTATTATGACAGCTTACATAATCCTTCTTTCATTCCTTTCCACTTTATCCTTACAATGTCCCTGTGAAGTAAGTTAGGCTGAGAATAAGTGACTGGCCCAAAGCTACCCAGTGAACTTTGTGGCCAAGTGGGGACAAGAATCCAGGTCTTCCAAGTCTTGGCCCAGTACTTTCACCTCTACACCATGATGACTCTCCTGAACTATGCTGGCTTTGCATGTTTTAAAATTACTGGGTGCTACCTTTAGCAAACCTGGAAAAGCAAACTACAACTGGTTTAAATATATAAATAAATCCAATGAAATGCTACCATTGCACAGCATGAGTAATACCAAACTAGCATGGCGTACTTGAGAAAGTTACGTCCCTGGGAATCCTCAGAGGCTGTTGCTTTTACAGGCAGCATTGTTCAAGGACTTCTTGGGTGCCAAGCATAACCAGGGGACTTGAAATTTGAAATGGGACTCAAGCACTTCAACAGAAGAAAGACTGAGATGGAACCTTCCGAATATCTAGAGGTACCTTTCAAACATCTCCACTAGAGTTTCAAAGGACAGAGAGAATCTTAGCTCATGGGTTATTTCCACCCAGCATGCTTCTCTTTCTTCCTGGTTCTCTGTCTTTGCCCTACACTGCTAGTTGCTCATTATTTTTCCCCTCCTTCATGTCAGCTCTCAAGGGGGGATAAATTAATATTTTGGAGGAAGAAGGCAAACCCAAACAAGCAGTTTACTAGAGCACCATTCTGAGGTATGTCTCTGCTAAACAGCATATTTCCATCCCACAGTCTAGGAACTGTTTTGAGGTAAAACTATAAACATTCCTGTGAGAATCTCTTGTCTTGGCTATCACTGCCTTCAGGCTGACTTGCAGTTCCGTAAAGTACACTCTGTCTTCTCAGATCAAAAGTATATCAAGCATATCTACATACTGGTAGAACAAGTTCAAAAGAAAAACAAAAAACAGCATCATGGCATTAAAATTATCAGGACAACTCATAATTCCCATGTGAATCACTCTGTCTGCAGTTACTGTTAATGAAGTTTCACATGTAAAGCAAGGACCAAAAAGTGGATGATGCAAGTGGTACTAATATGTTCCCCCCCACAAGACTAATAAGTTTGCTGGGGTGACTCAGATTAAGGAAATGGTATGAAAGGAAGGGGTTAGCAAATCTGATCACCCACGACTATTTTAAAATTAAAGTTGGGAGCTCCGTTACAAAATCTCTTGTGTTACATCATATGCAGTATTTTTGTCGAACCAAGTACTTCAAAATGCCTATGCAGTAATCCAAACAAAAGATGTATCCTTCTGCAAAGATAGCCCTCTATTTCAGACTCTTCAGTGTCATGTATATCTGAACATGGAGGAACTTGCTTCTCAGTAAACATACATTGCAAACTTCAGGATTCTAAACTTAAAACAACTTGAGTTCTCAGCATTTCCACTGATTTTCAAGCCCAGTGACACTGGGAGAAGGCAAGTGTGAAAAATGAGTTTACATAAGAACATAAGAAAAGCCATGATGGCTTAAACCAAAAGTCTATCTAGTCCAGCTGAGCACTGGGCTGACATTTTCATTGAGTTGTCTAGCACTACCCCAAGATCCCAGTTTCTGTAAATAAGATCTTTTCAGGTGACTGAGAAGGAACACAAACAATGTATATATCACATACAAGCCTATTTTAATACATTTCAAGTCCCTATTTTGTAACTAACAGCTGCAACGCTACTTAGAAGCCCATACAATATGTACTTTTCAAGTTGGTTATGAGTAAACATTTAGATACAATTCAACCTTTATCATCTGAAGTTTTCTTCAAACATCTGTTGGAAGAAGGCACAAACACTGAATGTTTCCTCTCTTACCTGCTTTGGAAAACTACTGGTTATTCTGATTTCCCCAACTGCACTGCTTCAGCTAATTTCATGTGTTCACACATGCTCATATTTAATCACATACTAGCAGGAAAAAATATCTTAGCTGGATGGTCAATCCAATAATTTTTTTAAATATAGTGAACTATAAAAGACAGGGCAAAATCCAAACAAACTCAGAAACTTTTTGGTCTTACTGATTTCTGTAGGAGAAAGAATTAAGCATATAGACACTTCTCCCTTTGAAGTCAGTGGAAGCAAAAAGTTGACTGAATCATGGTCTATAGAAATTATACCTCTTCTTCTTTGACTACTAGTTTGGAGTACAGGTATCTGGTGCTGGGCTAGCAGGACAGATTATGGATTCTTCCGGTGTACTGCCTAAACCACTGCTCAACAGACTCCCTATGTGAGATCATCAGTACCATGGTTCATCAAGCATATAATTCTTCTGGGGCAACTAGGGTACTGCATTGTAGTGGTTGCATTCTACCAACTTTGGCTGGTACACCTTGTCTGGACAGTGATAGCCTGGATTCAGTAATCTATGCCATCTCTCAAATATATTACTGTAATGCCTTCTACATGGGGCTACCCGCAAAGACAGTATGGAAGCTAGAGCAAAATGCAGCAGTCAGGCACTACCTGGGACCATGTGGTCTAAACAGATAACCCTTGTTCTGGCCCGCTCGCACTTACTGCCTATATCCTTCCGAATCTAATTTAGTGTGTTGGTTTTAATCTAGAAAGTCCTCCATGACTTGGGACCACAATACCTGATGTGGTCTCTTCTGACCACAATGTACCCAAGCACTATGCATAACAACGGAGGCCTTACTTCAAATGCCATCTTCAAGAAAAGTTTGTCTGGTGGCAGCAAGCAGGGGGACTTTTCTGTGGTTGGCTCCAAATTATGGAATGACCTCCCCACTGAGGCCTCCCTGACACCAACATTATCATCTTTCCAGCATCAGATTAAGGCTGTCCTCTTTGCTGAGACATTTACCAACTCCAAATGGTATGAGGGTGGGGGTGGAGCATGGTCAGCTATTTTTCTGCAGGCCTAGCAGCATGGTCTGGTTTTAAGCATTTAGTTATAAAAATCTGGTTGCGAATATGTTTCTAATTTTTAATGTAATTTAATTATGCTTTTGCATTTTAATCTATATTGCACTACTACTGGGCAGAATAGAAATCAATCAGTCAATGGAATTATACTCAGTTGTATAATATACCAAAAACAGCAACTACAAAATCTACAATTAAACTATAAAACTGCACATTGGACATATATAATCTTAATATCTAGGGGGAAAAACCTTGAAAACCTATTTGAACTCATGCATTTTCAAGGCCCATTTGCAGGAAGACAGCAGTTCTGCAGATCTCACTGTAGTGGTGGGATTTCAAAACTTTAGTGCCACCACTGAAAAGTTTCTGTACTTATTATTTGCATTTCAAATTTCTAAGAATCAAATGACAGAAAACAAAGCCTCTGAGACTTATCTTAGGGCTAGTGTGGGTACATACTAGAGAAGGCAGTTCCTGAGATATCTTAGTTCCAAGGCCATTGAGAGCTTTATATTGAGCCAAATAAGTATATACAATTGGCACAATACAGTTGAGCTGGATGGAGGAAACCACATTTTGGCCAAGTTTCTCTTTCTGAATGGACATCAAATCAGCCCAACAGAGAGAATATTGCAGTAATCTTAGCTGGAGTATGAATGACTGAGGACAGGTCCAATTTCTCCAGGAAAACTGAAGCTGGCAAACAGCAAAAACTAGTACAAAGCATTCCTGGCGCCATCATAAAGAACATGATGGCATGGCTTACATTTTGTACACAAGAAACACATTCACTTTAATGAAACAAAACAGCATGTCAAAAATGCAGGCAAATATAGACTTTCTCAACAGACAACTTCACATATGTGACCACTACTCATATAAATAAAAGTCTCACTCCAAGTCTCAAAGTTTCCAAAGAAATCAAACATATATGTTATCATACACTTGTCTCCAAAACACATTAAAATAATATGTGCGTGTATGTCTTTATAAACATCAGTTCTCAACATTTCAATTTTCTTGTCATACTTAAGGCACTTCAAAGAAACCAAAGGTCAGGGGGAGTGTATTATGTGAGTTTAATGTGAAAGGCACTGGGGAGTAAGGAAAGACTTAAAGCAAAGGATGCAGTAACAAATAGGGCACAGACAAGAGAGACAAAGCCCGGAGGTTTCTCAAAAAAATCTTGTAAAATTTTACAGACTGACTAGTATCTGTATTCCCCAACTGTTAAGTGCAGCAATAGTTTTTCATCTATTCTTTTCCTTTCATACAAACGAAGAGACAGGCCAAAGTCTTTTTAGTATCTGCACCATAATAACCAAGCAAAAGTAGCCTGAATGAATCCACTGAGAGCCAGTGACTTTTCGTTAAGAGTGCTGGACTGTGCTTCAGGAAATCTGGGTTCTAGTTCCCACTTGGTCACAAAGTTCACTGGATAACTTTGGGTTAATCTCTGATTCTCAGCTTAACTTACCACACTGGGTTGTTGTGAGGATAAAATGGAGAGAGGAAACATTTGTAAACAGCTTTCAGTTCCTTGGAAGAGGGAAAAAAGCAGGATTTAAATGTAACAACAATCATCCATCTCAATCATCCATCAGGGTTCTTAGGATGCAACCAGTAAGGGAAGACATTTTGAGAGTTGGGGTTATGCTGAAGGTCATGCCTAACTTTTAGGCTACCCGTTGCTTAATCCTGCCCAATATATATTTTGGTTATATGAATTTTGATATATTCATACATATATTCCCCAGCTGTATACAAAATCAGTGCTGAAGAACAGATGTGGAGAAATTTTACCATATTGAGAACAGCACCTGTTGGAATACATATATATGGACACACATATCTGTATCCTAGGGAAGCCACCTAGGAAGGCCTTGGCAATGATCGGTGGCCTACAAATACATATAAATAAATAATAATTGAACAGCTTCTGCTGATGCCAATTTTAAAAAAGAATTTCCATTGAAGAATGTAAGAGGTATCCAAGATCAGACCAAGGGCCCATGTCATCCAGCATGCCATTCACACATGGCCAACCAGCTGCCACAGGAAACCCACAAGCAAGACAGCACCATCCTGCCCATGTTCCTCAGCAACTGGAGCACTTAGATACTGGAGGCTGCATATAACCATCAGGACTAGTAACCATTCATAACTGTATCCCTTTGTCTTTGCATAAGGACACATAAGTTTGCAACTGTGACGACACAACAAAAATGTATTTTCTAACAACAGAATTTGCACCTGTAGTGTTCCATGTAATCCCACTTCCGATATTTCTTTTGTTTCCATGATCAGATTACTTACACAAGCTAGTTTTCACAGATGCAATAACATACAAACCAGCTTTAAGATTAATTATTTATTCTTCAAGCATCCTGCCGGACTCTCAAAGAAGCTTGATGATGAGTTGTGGCTTGTCCTGCTGCAATACTAATCCATGCGAGCAGATAAAAATGGGTGGGGACTCATAGGTGGAAGATACTCAAATATTCAAAGGATATGTTATACTCAAAGAGTGCAGCTTGAGATACTAAACACCGCCTTATAAAAATTTGATTGTGTATATCATTCCCATTTCACCCCGTCTCCTAGTTTGCACCCTATCACCAACACCCATCAGTAAGAATTAATCCTACAAAAAAAGCGAAGAGGAGGAAGGACTAACCACCTAGATCCCAGCCCAGGTTCTGAGTCAGCCTTCAACAAGCTGGTGCCCTTTAGCTGTGTTAGACTACAATTCCCATATCGGCTGGGGGACACTGGGAAGTGTAGTCCGATGCATCTGGAGGGCACCATCTTGGGGCAAACTGCTCAGAAGTACTCGGAGTGTAAGAGGGCACCGCACAGGGCTGCGCGCGCATGCGCACCGCAGGGCGCGCCTAAGCGAATGCCCATCCCCACCGCGGCGGCGGCGGCTGAAGAGGCAGCCACGTTCTTCCTATTGCTTTCCTTCCTTCGCCACTCACAAGTCGCCTTACAGGACATGCTACGGCCGAGGCAAAGCGAGAGGGAAGCCGAAGCACGGGGAGCAACACCTACCTGCAGGAGTGGGTGGGAGAATCCCGTCACCTGCACGACGGCCGCACTAAGCTCGGCGCCGGGCTTCCGGCGTCATTCCGGCTCCGCTTCACGCCCCATCTCGCCGCCGCCCGTGTATAAGCTCGGGTCTGGGGAGCGGGAGGCGGCAGATCCGAGGCGCATGCGCGACCGCCCTTTTCCTTCACCGCCACCCTCTCGCTCGGGTCGGCTTCTTCCAACCCTTTGGCTAGAGAGAGCAGAGGCCGGAATTAGGCAGCGCACGCGCGTGACGGCAGGGAGGGGCTGTCATAGCCGCCGAGGAAGTGAGCTTAGCCCGAGCAGCCGAGAGCAGGCGGTTGCGCGTGCGCACTCGTTACCACGGTCTTCCTTAATGCTTGCATAACGGCTAGAAAGCCCGGCTCGCGCTCTTCCCGCCCTTTTCGGTTTGATGCATTTTGGGAGATGTAGTTTTTCTCCTCTGCACGGGCAGGCGGAAGCGAAAGAGAATTTCGAGCGAGGGGATTAGTTATTGCCATCGATCATCTCATCCTGGATTGATATTCGTGTTACCAGGATGAATGGTGGCCCCTCGGAGCCGTTAAAAATGAAGACACGGTTTCCATGTTACTGTTTTCAGCTGGGAACACACCTGCAGAGCAACAGTTCGGGGAAGGCAGAGATGCAGCGTGTTTTTGGTCTTGAACCTCTAGAAGACCCTGTGAAGTCGAAAATACCTGGGGATCCATCTTCCTCTCAATCCTGGCCTAAGTGTATTTTATGGAAAGCACAGCCTGGCTGTCTCTTGAAAATTCAACTTGATTGTCAGGATGCAGTAGCAATAACTTATTCTGGTATTGCTGCTTGGTGCAACCACATTTCCATCATGTCCTTCCTTCGAGCAGCTCTGGGCAGCATATATACTGGTCACACATATAAATATACCCCATTCTATATCCTAAGCTGGTTTCGTTTATCCCTTGCTTTGTCCATCTCTACGCTTCTTGTCCTTTTCCTTTAAAAAAAGTTTGGCAGTAAGTTCAATTTTTTTCCAGATTTACTAATAGTTTTGAGATTTTGATTCCTAATTTATTATTTCCACGGCACTCAAGTATAATCCTTGAACTTTTGGACCCCTGTATTTGTGTGGCAGTTTGCCACCTGCTTTGGGTATTCATTTGAGACACAGCTTTCTTCAGTCTTACATATAATAAGTTCTTTGTTATTATTACTGTGGTCATGTAATAAGTCCACCACAGGAATGTGTATGCTTCTGTTCAGTAAAAGCATGCACGGTTGTGGTTATAAACACCCTGATCAGTCTTTATAAGCGTTTGGGTAAAGACCCTGTGTTGTATAATCAACATAGTAGTATAGCTATTAATTTACTTCCTGTATCATAGAATTAACACCAAGAACTCCAAACAAGTATAACATGAATTAACATGCCTGCAATTGCAAAGGTGGTTCAGTTCACCTCTTCAAATTAAATCTTACATTGAATGCAAGATGAAGCTATTAGTCTCTAAAGGTAATAGATACTTCAGCTGACACATACACTTACATCTCGCATTTCAGATGTAAGCAAACAGGCAAGAGCATGTTAAGGTGCACTGGCTTCTTGTGAAATTCAATATGCTGAGATCAATCTGTCTCATTTTTAGGCTGCCTAATATGGGTCTAGTTACTTATGAAATAATCTCCTATTTCCCAACTATTGGTAAGCTCACCCAACAATGAACCACCCTCCTATTGCTGCATTTAGACTGCCAACCAGTGTTATAAATTAAGGAAGAGAAAAGGTTGAAGGACTAGATATGACATTTCAAGACACTGATGACTTTATTGTTCGGCTTATGTTACACTCATAAGTACTTCAAAACCTTTTGCATTTTATTTAAGGTAAGACCGATACGTTGATCTTTTCCAACAACTAAGGCATAAGTTTCTGATACAGGGCAGTGGTTTCAAAGCTACCAAGACCCCAAGATGGAATTCAACCTCCTACAACCAAAACATTTTGTTTGTTTGAAACTTTTATATACCATCCACTACTGAGGTCTCAGGACAGTCTTACAATAAAACAAAGTAGAGCACAGCATGCACATTGATTTTCTATACAATAAAACTCCACATTAAAATCAGATTCAAACCTTAAAATAATGGGAAAATTAAAAGGTTTTAGCCTGGCACCGAAAGGAATAGTGTCAGCGCCAGGCAGACCTCTCCGGGGAGGTGGCTGAGGCCCCATCAGTGAGGGTGTTCAAGGAAAGATTGGACAACCTCATATTGGGATTACAGGAGTGGAGCCGGCTGGAGCCCAGGGTCAGACTAGATGGCCCAGGAGACCCCTTTTGGCTCGCTTTTTTCTGTTTCTATAAGTTGGAACAACCCTAGGCATGCTCTGCTAAAGCAACTAAAATTAGTATCACAGATTCTAACTTAGACATTAATATTGCAGCTTCCTGCCAGTGCACTGCATGAAAGTTTGGTAGGCTGCTTCCCCACTAGGTGTTTATTCAGGAATAGCCACTTTCTTAGTTTACCTTTTATGGGGAATCTCTATGAGATAATCTGATCTTTTTAATCTTGTATTTTTTCCATGATTCTTCCATCACTTTTCAGGGGAGCAGAAGAATAGTGTAGTTTCCACAATGTAAATAAGCAGCGTGCTACTTTCCTAAGAGGAATCCTCTTGAGTTACAGTGACCTGCTGCAGGGGATGCGCACTGATACATACATGTTCTCTTATTACCTTTCCCATCATTGCCATTTATTAAGTTTATTTATTAAACTTATATTCCACAACTAATAGTCTAAAAGGACTCTCTAGGTGAGGTTGGAATGGAATGATAGTCTCTCTCTGTGGCTCCTTTGGAGAGTACTGAATCAGCCTCTGACATCAGCATTGCTCTGAGAATTGGCCCATTTCCTTCAATAGGGAAGGCAGGCCTTGTAGTCAGTTCCTCTCTCCATACGGTTTGTCACAAATGTCCTGAGGTTGGTACTGAGTGATCTCTCAGTATCAAAGGCTGATGAGGACACTTCTGCTCAATTAAACACTTAGCTACAGAATCTTCCCAACATCCGGTTTCATGCAAGTGCAGGGCCCATGTCTATTTATTTGCTGTATATCCTGCCTTTTTTCTTTTTTAAGGAACTTACACCATTATCTTCCTCCTGTTCTCAATCTTATCCCCTCAACAAGCCTGTGAGGTAGGTTGGGCTAAGAGTCTGTGACTGGCTCAAATTAACCCAGCTGGCTCCATATGTGGGATGCAAAGAGACCACAAAGAACAACAACCCATACGTAAACCTTCTGTAGTTATAAAATGCATTTTCAAAGGGTATTTCTAGGATGAAAACTGCCCAGTTTAAGAGAAAACTGAAGGTCATTATAAACTACTTTAAAAACATGGAAATTGTAAATTAAGACTGCAACCTTAACTTGTGGACCACATAAACAGAAAGATGTTGCCAAGTACCACATATTCTGAGCAAGTATAAATTTAGGGTCTGTGGAATTAAACTTTGCTATAGTCTTTTTGCCCTCATCATCTTACAGCTAGTGGCCAACAGTGAACTAGCAACAGAAATGTATAAAGTTGATATATTGAAAAGATTATACAGGAATGGTTCTTTAGAAAGTTAAACCTCTTAATACATTCTTTATCCCAGGGTTTGTGTTTATACAATATTCCCAAGACATTTTCTGCTTACATTAGTTAGAAACAGAAGCTGGAGTGGACCAATTTCACTGATTGTAATTACCTTATTGCCCTGATTGTACATTTACTCAGAAGTGCTATTGATTTCAGAGTAATATAGTTCCAGGAAAGTATACTTAAAATCACTTGGCCACCTCTAGATATATTATCAAAAATTGAGTTACCAGATTACATTTCCAAGTCTAGAAATTAAAACGATCAATAGAGACTAGATTACAGTAGTGTTTGATAATTCCTCCAGCAATGTGTTTTCCATTGGTCTTGTTTATAATGATACAGCCTTAATTATGAACAAAGACTATGACCAAACAGCAACTTCCTGAGTTTTGCAGAACGTATTATTTTATTATTTTAATGAATTGTAACAATTTCTATAATCTACACTGAGTGCCTTTTTTTTTAAGAAAAATGGGCAAAAATAGCAATAAAAATAAATTTAGCCTTTATTTTGCACTTAATCACTGTAGAAAAAAGTGCAATTCCTGCCAACCCCCCCCCCCCATGCACTAACACAAAACGCTTCTTTGGAGTTGTATATTCAACAGAACCAAGTCACCCAGCTTTCCCTGGATTGTCCCACTCTGAGCCACAAGAAAGGAACTGTAGTCTTGAAACCTCCTCCCAGAAAAACAAACCATCCGGACAGGTGCTGACACTTCTACGTACATAGAAAAACAACACTAGAAAATAAGTTAGGTTGAACCCATCTTGCTTATCGGCTCATTTGTTTATGTATAGAAATCTTTTCATAGTGCAGGGAGGATATAAGAATGTGCACTAACTTGCAACCAAGCAGTCTAAAATGCAGGCAATGCTTTACTGCTTTGTTCTGCTCAATAAACTGGCCCTAGTCCTTTTTTAAAATATAATTTCCTATGACCAGTGATTGCCATGTCAGGATAAATTGAGAGTTGGGGATTTAGAGCAAGAATTTTCAGGCTTTTTTATTATTCATGTAAAAGAACTACTCAAACTAAAAACAATACCAATTAAGCCTACTTACAGTGTTCTTAAATAGTCAAACAGAATATAAGAAAACCACACAGCTAAACAGTGTTGTTTATTAAAATACAGAATCATGTAAATCTAAGAAAATACATTTAATATTGCAATAGATAATTTAGTCACAGGTATAACTGAGTTTCCAGTAGATGATTCTAGGCAGTATTATGCATTATAATATTACAAAGTAACTAGGCCATCTTTACTAACAAGTATTTCAACATTGAAAAGGATGTCATAAAAAAACCCTAAGAAATTACCTTTGAGTCAAACATTTCCTGTAACCATCTTTATATTATGATAGTCTAACAAATTAGATTCTTAAACCATGACTTCGATAGAATTACATATTTTACGGGTGGAATGTTTATAGAAAAACAAAGATTTTTCAATAGCTGCAAAGTTCTCAAATCAGTTTCATCAAACAAGTTTTTTGCCATCCTAAAAATTTCATTACATTATTCTCACCAAGTAACTGGATACCACCAAATGTCATAACTCATTTAACTTTTCTACCTTTCAAGGTGTAGCTTTTTATGAGATAAGAAACCGTTAAAATGAGAAAAGGCTAATTATATTTTCCTCTTAAGAAGAATATCAGTTATGCATTGTTAGTATTCTAAAGTGCATAAAGATGCCATCACCAGACAGAAAAAGATACAGTCTTGGTAGATCTTCAGTGTCTATGTACACAATTTTGAACAAAGCTTTTGAATAGTTAATAGAAAATAATAAGCAAAATCTAACACTGTGCAAACAGGAGGCAGCTAATGCAGTAGATTTTTTTCCAAAAAGCCCCTCATATGCCCAGGGAAGGGAAGACATATCCCCCCTCAGTGACAGGGGGAACTACCCAAAATTCAGGTGGAGGGATCTTGCAATGCTTGCAGAGGGTTCACTATTGTAGCAATCTTTTCCCCTCCCTCTGCAGCCCAGTAAGAAACAGCACACAATATTTAATAGGTCCCTATGACCCTCTTGAAAAGCCAAAGGTCATACAATGGGCTATCTGTCTGGAAGATTGCTTATTTGAAATAAAAACTGAATGTGAATATTCAAGAGCAGGATAAAAAGTCACGTATGAATTTTAATTTGAAATACAGTCCTGCATCTGTATATTAGTGCTGAGAGAAAGGATCCAAATTTAGTTCCCAGACCACATGTTTCTCTTAGCAGTTAATGGTGAAATACAAGATGACAGTAAGAGTACACAAGGTAAAGCAAATTCTACTAATTAGTTTTGAATTTCAGTTAAAACTAGGCAGTTTGACTGTATACATATAATTTAAGGAGAAGTGACAATCCTTCCTATAAACCACTGAACTTCTTGAACACTGGAGTTCCAGCTGAAAAATACATACTGCTGCATCACAGATTCTCCCCAGCTAGAGACATTATTTGTACTCTCTGCTTTGATTTTGCCAGTCACCTATATGGTTGGAAGTATTAGAGGAAATGGGTATGCCAGAAGCTCATCCATCACAAGAGATATTTTGTTGTTGCCAAAGATTTGGCCACCAATCATTTATTGGCAAGCTCTCTAGGTATTAGATGCATTTTTCCTGAATACAGCAAGTTTGTGTGCCCAAAGATCATATCCAAGTGACTGAGTGGAAACTGTGAATTGAGGAAACTGTGAACAGTCACTGTGCAACCATGTATTGGTTGTAAGGGAAAAGGGGGGAATGAATGGTCAAGTGTATGTATATATATAAACGCATTCCCTGTCATTTTTAATAGGTATTTTTAAAAGATTCTTATATGCCTCGCACAAATGCTTCCATTTCACACAAACCTTTGTTATATATATTAACTTCCAAGTTCAATATATTTACACTTTAATTTCCAATTAATGCATCTTCCATTTTTGTTCACAATAGCCTCACTGAATTCAAGAATGAAGGGGGCATAGAGGAGCAGGGAGATGCTATGGACATAATTCAGTATAGCCAATTCGCTTTGATGCATTAAAATAACATTGAAATGCAGCATCAATTTTCTTTCCAGTTTACAAATGATCATGCATGGATAATTCTTTCTGTAGTTGCTAGCTTGCTTTTAAAAGATTTCTCGTTATAGAAATCTATGTGGTCTCTAGCAATAAGCAGCACAGCAGTTCAAACTGGAATGTTTAAAAATGTGGCAAGGACCAACAAATGTAAAACTTTAGCGCTCTGAGTTACAATTTCTGTGAAGTTTCATGATTATCTACTCAGGCTATGCTGCGGTAACTACAATATGTAAATTAGTTAAGTTGATATATGGAGATCAAAGTGAAACAATTTAATCATAAGGCTTTTATATTCTCAAATTACTGGGGAAAATTAAGATTATTCATTTATTAATACTGTATACATATGCAAAAAGGGATAAAATTACATGTTTAAAATTTTTGTACATCTCTAGTTCCCTGCAAATGTGTTGCAACTATTAAAATCTCAAGCAATACCTGTAAGTTCAGTCCTTATCAATAAAAAAATACTTTGGTGTCTATGGTATTAAGGTTCAGCTTTTCATCTTCAAAACATGCAGTTCATGCATCTTACAGTTTTACTGCCATAGTCAATACACTCAGGTCCAATACATTCGCAGCAGGCATTGTGAAACCATCGGTATTTGGATGCACCCATAGATTCACAAGAGATCTTGCACTGATGTATCGACATGCAGTCATCAAAGTAAACCACAGTACACATGCGTTCTAAATGGAGAGAGTAGAAAAAAGCCTTTAGTTTGCTGAGCAAAGTTTAAATTACAGTTCATTCAAACAACACAACTGAAGTTTAACTATGGCTTTCTCAATATAATTCTTTGGTGGTTCCACCCAAACTTCTAGAGACTCAATTAACAAGACTACTCTTATTTACCCTCTGTAGATTTGTCTTCTCCTTTCACAGTATTTTGCACCTTTCTTTGATCTGAAGTTACAAACAACTCTGGACCTTGAGGAGTACAAATATGGGGTTTGGAGATTTGGAAACTGGCACATCATAGTACTAGAGGGCCACCGGTTGCCCATATCTGCTCCACTTTGTGGAGGCCAATAAGGGTAGATTCTCTTGTCTTCCTAGCAATGCTAATTACAGGAAAGCAGAATCTAAAAATTTGCTTAAAATTGTGAGTTGGGCATTGGAGGCTTAGTCTGGAGAACTTCAATAAAGATGCACATGTTTCCCCCCCTCATAATTCAAGCCCTTCTCCCTAGGCTGTTTAACTGGAGACATGTCAAGGTGCTAAGCATCAAGAACTTCATTCTAGACCCTGCATTCTAGTACTGAAGCCCTCTAAACAGTGCTAGCTCCAAGTTTTTGAGGGCCCTTGGGCCAATGTGTCCCCTCTCTCACCTTCCTACTGCCCTTGCCACTCACCAGCTGCTCTTACTCCTCTTTTTTCACATTACTGCCACTTGCTTACTTGACAGCCACCCAGCCAAAGCGCAAGTAGGCAGAAGCCTCTACTGCTCTTCCTTTTCACCACTACTGTCTGAGCCAGAGTGAGGGGCAGGTGAGCAAATGTGTTTCAGTGGTGAATAGAGCGAGCAGCTCCAGGAAGGTCTTGTCACTGGGCCACTGACTGGGCATGGGTCATCAGCAGGTACCCAAGCATGTGAACACTTGAACACCTGGTCCTGCCTATAAAACTGAATGCACAGTGGGAGGGAGAGGATATGAAGGTGTAGTAGCTTGCTTGGCTTTCTCTTATCTAGCCCACTTGCATAATAACATCATGCAGGTATAAAACATTTCTGAACATATGTTTAAGCGCCTGAAATGAATTTAGTTATCTTATGCAAAGCAAACTAAGAAAACCCAGCTCTTGAGTTCTATTTAGTGAATGGTATTCAGACTGAGGAATAAAACATGAAAGAAGTTCAACACTGGAATGAAAGGGGAATGTGTCTGAAGTAATTAGAATTCAATCTGTTACATAAAGGGGGCAACATATGGAAAGCAGCACATAGAATCATCAACATTTTAACTCACAGAGACAAAATAACAGAACAGTTATAAAAGGATAATGTGCGTTTTGCTTTGAAGGATTTCAGAAAGTCATTCCAGTAAAGCAAACATCTTAAAACCATTTAAGACTACAAATGTATGCACAATTATTTAGAAGTAAAACCTACTCAACTAAATGAAACTTACTTTCAAGTAGACATTAGATTTGGGGGGGGGGGGTAAGGGAAACATTCAATACCATTAGTCACTTAATTTTTCCAGTTAAAACTATGAAAAACTAAAATGTATTGTTTACTCATTAAAACATTTCTATCTTCTAATTAATACAAGAGAAATCAAAGATCAAAGTGAATTTCCCTTTTTTTATTTATAGCTCTTATATACCATCCACTACAAGCGTCTCAGGACGGTTTTACAATAAAAGCAACACAAAATAAAAGAGAGCACAGTACCCAAAACTTCCAATAAATAAAACCCACCTTAAAACCTATTAAGCATTAAAATAATGGGAAAATAAAAAGGGTTTTGCCTGGCACCAAAAAGAATTAAGTGTTGACACCAGGCAAATCTTGTTCGGAAGTGTATTCCATAATTATTTCATATTTTCAGTCATTAACTGTCCTTTGAATTAAATGTCAGATCATTACACACTAACTATGGACCACTGAAAAAAGCTAAGTGCCAAACTCATGGCAGAACAACTTTTTCCATGATCCAAATATATTTGACAAATTTGAAATATATTTAACAAGAAAATATGTCCCATGTGGAATAATAGCAGTCATTAAACTCCTCGGGTATATCTCAAGTTTTGGTTCTGGCTCTGTATGTATATTGGGACAAAAAAATCCCAATTTTAATGACTAGACAAAATGGGATCTTGGGTGGCAACAGGGTGGACAGCTCAGTGAAAATGTTTTTCTGAGTGTACAGCTGCTGTGAAAAGGGAAAACTTTATGTTAGGCATAATTAGGAAGAGAACAGAAAATAGAACTGCTAAGATCATACTCCCCTTATACAAATCTTTGGTGCAAATGCATGTAGAATATTGTATACAGTTCTGGTCGCCTTACATGAAAACGGACATTATTGAGTTGGAAATACTACAAGAAGGGCAACAAAAATGATCAGGGGGCTGGAGCAGCTCCCCTATGAAGAGCAGCTACAACAACTGGGACTTTTTACTCTAGAAAAAAAGGTAAGAGGAGACATGATAGAGGCGCATGATGTGGGGAAAATGGAGAAAGAGAAAAGAAAGTACTTCACAATATATATGGTAAAAGTATGGGATTCGCTGCCGTGCGAAATGGTGATGGCGACCAATTTGGATTAATTTAAAAGGGGACTGGGCAAATTCTCAAAGGAGGGGACAATCAGTGGCTGCTTGCCTTGAGGTGGTGCGCTTCCATATGCCCGTTGCTGATGAGCTTGGGCAGGCAAAGGTCGTGTACTCATCCTGCTTGAGAGATCCCGTCTACATTGATTTGCCGCCTTGTGAATGGAGTGCTGGACTGGATGGAACTTTGGTCCGATCCAGCATGGCTTTTTCTTACATTCTTATGTGCTATCTCGTTACACTTATCTGCTACGTTTTGGAAAGAGACTGCCTTTTGCTGTACTTACAAACAAGGTGCACATCACCCTTCCATCCCCTGCCTCTGTCTTAAAGGCAAGCAGGCATAAAAAAAGAAAAAGAAAAAAAAAAAGGAACTTAAGAGCTGCAACAGCAATTCTTACCTTTTTCAGTGGAATATGACACATGGACATTGTTTGGTACAGAGGCATTTTGATGCTGGGGATGATTTACTGTTTCTAAAATCGAGACTAAGTTCTCATGATGTGACAGTTCTTCAGCAACAGGGAAAGAAACAATATTCCAGCTCAGCTGAGTGTCGCCTTCTGTTAGGGCCCGGAAAAGAGAGGGGATTGGCTCATGCAACTCCTCAACAGTACTCTTCGAAGTAGGTGGTGTGTCACTGTAATTGCGAGGATTACACATACCTTGAAGGCAAATTAACCAGAAAAAAAATGCTCAAAATGATGCACTCATGAAAACCAACATTCTAAAAAATATTATGAAACAGTTGCCAGGTGCAATTAACTGGTACAACACATATGCAAATTCACTTCTCACAATCCGTGTTTCAATAAGTTAAGAAGCTTTCAATGGTACCAAAAGAGCCTTTCCTCCAGCTCACTAAGTCATAAAGGAGACCGTTACCACAGAGGACTTTGTTCTTGTGGTTGCTTATTTTTGCCATAACAAGATGTGGAGTCAATGAAGGAGAGAACAAAAAAGCACTAATCCTATTTATCCTTTGCACATATCTGGAAATATTCTTCCAGGTTTTTAACCAGTATTTGTAGCATGTAACACCAAGAAAACACCAGCAATTTAACTAGGCAAAAACCGTAGGATGAAAACCATGGAGAGAAGTGAACCTCAAACATCTATATTTGTACTTCCTGTTTCAAGTGTGCAGACACTGAAACTTTTGTCTCCTTGGCCAAATTACAAGTCCCTTTCACTTAGTTATACATCAGAATGTAAGAAGTACAGTGTGTTAAGATAATATTCATGAAAAGCTTATTTCATTACAATTCTGATCTTGTCTGCTTCAGCAATGAGTTCAGTCATTTTCTGAATTACATGATCAAGCCTTTAGGCTTAATTCTTTCCTCTATCCTGTTTTTGAACATGCTATACTCTGCGTTCTTTCGTGGCATAACTACAATTGAGTAAACCACAATGTAATCAATGTTATATGCCTGGGAATGCTACTGCTTTTATAATTTCGCTTACTTTTTGTACTTTAATGAGGGTGGCTGACTATGCTAGTTCACAAGAACGTTACTTCTCTGAAGGACAATAATGGCACATGGAGTGTTTGCTCTCATAGAATACAACCATATGTGCATACCTATACCCAATTTAAGGGTGCAATCCTTTGCATTTTTATACTGAAAAAAGCCCCATAACTCCCAGCATGCCCCAACTAGTACTCTAAATGATCTTATGTGGAAAGCTGAGTTTTAAAGGATGGCTTCTCTACATTTGACCTCTAAACTAAACAAATATCATAACATATTTTTATTCTACAGGTCACTCGTTATCTAAGCATTATCTTGCTACATCTACTAAACTTTTCCAACAGAGCATGCCATTATTTTAATTATTATTTCAAAGGCTGTAAATAAATTCAAGTGCAGACATTCATAACAGCTGTAAAAACAAATATCATAGTCCCTGTCCAGTTTGATCAACACTATATAATGATTTTTTAAAATTCATATCATAACATTTGTGAAGCATGTTTTTAACTTCTAAACTGATGTAAACAAAACACAGTAATTGTATTTTAATGTTCTCCATTATATTTTGGTTCTTACTGCATAATAGACAATAGGCAGGAATGCCTGAGGGAACATCTATCACTAAGGCCTTCATCTGGGGCCCTTCTCCAAGTCTCTCCCCACAATAAAGTGAGGGGGGAGTTAACCAGGAGAAGGGCTGTGCTGTAGCACCCCATTTTGGAATTCCCTTCCAAAAGAAAGCCACCAGGTGTCCTCACTTTTTTCTTTTACATGCCAATTGGAAATATTTTTATTTTGTAATCACTTTGATAAGTAAGTTGGTTTTATAATGGTTTACTGTTTGCGGCCTCCATGTTGAGGGTTTTAGTTGCTGGATATTTATATGATTGTTTTTAATTGTTTTATTATCAACTGATTGTCAAATTTTATTGTTAGATTATTTTATTGTTTTATATCTTTACTGTTTTATCTTATTGTTTAAACTGAATTGCTTTAATTTGCTGTTTTATTGTCATACCATGTAAGCTGCCCAGACAGCCTTCTGACTAAGGGGTGTGGCATATAAGTGCAATAAATAAATAAGCAAACAAACATATTTCCCTTGTGTGTGTTGAAAGTATTCTTATTTTGTGGATTTTTATTAATTCACCATCACAAAAACATGCACAGTTGTAGTCTGCCATGATGTTGGGAAAATGCTGACTTTAGAAAAATATTAGTATTATGTAAGATTTGTTCCCATAACATTCTCTGCCTCCAGTTTACGGTATATTGGTGAGCCAAGTCTTCTTTTCTTCCTACTCCTTATGCAGTGAACAGATAATGGGGAAGCTGCAAGTACAGATATATGGGAAGATACCACATAAAGAGAATACAACATGAATTCTAGTGCACTAAAGTGTGTTTCAAGCAAATCCAAGCAAACAGTTCCCATTCTGCAGTGGAGACAAGAATATCAAGCTAACAATGGCCATCATAGCCATACCATCCTGGCACACTCTTCCTTTTTTCTCTAAGCAACCTTTGTCCATTTTGCAAGGCAAAATTGGTAACTATGCCAAGATGATGGGAGTTCTGCATAGCCTCTAAGCCCAACAGGGAGTCAGTATAATGCTTAGAGTACTGGACCAGGTACCTGGGAGATCTCGGTTCTTGGCCATGAAGGGTGACAATGGCTTAGTCACTCACTTTCAGCCAGACCTACCTCGCAGGGTTAGAGTTACTGTTGTGAGGAGCTTTGTAAGCTGCTTTGGGTTCCTCGCAAGAAGAAAGAAGACGGGCTATAAATGCAGTGTAACAACAACAATTTCACACACTGTATTCCATTTGAGGGGTGGTAAGAAAGCTTAGCTTCCCTTCCTCCCTGATGGGGATATGGCTTCTTGTAATGATTAAGAGAAAGCACTGCTTTTCCCTATTAAATCCCAATTCCTGTCCTTGGGTTGTGCCTTCACACTGCTGTGAGCATATTCCATCAGCAGAGCGAAGCAAGCATGTGCCAGCCAGAAGCATGGAACAAGAGAATAGGTGCATTCAGCACTCCAAATGAAAACTATGTATCTCAGCCTCTAAAATGCCTAGATGAAGATGCTCTCACCCGCTTGGAAATGGAAGAGTTTAAGGAATGACCAGGCAGCTGTTTGTTTCTTCAGCCTACACTGTGATTTCCCAGTCACTGCAACATGACATGTATTACTTTGTACAACTGAGTGCCGTATTTTTAAAGCCTCCACTTTGAGCACTGTTTCATGTATCCCTGTTTACTTGTGAATGATTAGGTGTGTGTTGATTTCATGTCAAGTCTACTCCACACACAAACATTCAATATGGAATGTACAGACATCCAACCCTTTAATGATGGCATTGATATGGATTTTAAAAGGTGAAGCCCCATGTCAGCAACATTTTCCATCTGAAGCAGCTGTGAAAGAATAGGTAACAGAAAGTGAATGAACTTACCCACACAATCACAACATTCATCCCAAAGTGTGCCTAGACAAAGCATGCACTCTTTACAACATGAACAGTTTCCTTCACCAGGTCGGCACTGACACAGCTCCTGGAAATAAACCACATTGTATTAGATCTTTCTGTTTGTAATACAGCACTGAAGACAAGTTACTACAATTGTAAATCTTAATCAACAAAAGACTTGTCTTGCACAAGAGACCCCATATGTTTGGTTATGAATTGTTTGATACTAACAACGTACATACTATAAGCTGTTAGTAGCTTGGACATGACCATTCCTTCTCATCCTTCCACTGCTCTTCATTTTCCTTTCCTCAGCTGATAGTCTAGTGTTCTGTGTCTCAACAACTCTCAACCAGTCAATCAATTCTCAAAGTCTGCCTCATTTCTGTTTCTAAGCATATACACTTCTTTTTTCTCCTCCAGGGTGGATGCGAGAGCAGTCAATAGATAAGAATGGAGAAACCTAGGATTTTTGTGTAGCTGAAATTAGGTAGTGGTACATCTGCCCTCCCTCACCAAAAAGTTTCAAAAACTTAAGTTCTTGCTTTTAGCAGGAACTGTTTCCTTGCATGGCTTACTACTTCTAATAACTTCAAATTTCACAGGAGAAAGAGCCGAGTATAACTTGTGGGGAAGACACTACTCCCTGTCCTAACTGGGACCATCAGGAGTGTGCCTGGAGAAGCCTCTGTAAGAAGTGGCCACGTAGCCTCTGTCTCTGTATCAAGTATTGCATTAAAGAAGTTGCACTATGACTGACTGTTTCCGATGATGGTAGCAATGGGGGGGGTTGATGTTCCCCTCCACCCTGACACAAGCACAACAGTATCATAATGTTATAGAGTAATAAAGCTGGAAGGGGCCAATCCAGCCATCAGGCCCAACCCCCTGCTCAGCGCATGACTGCGAGCCAAAGCAGATGGCTATCTAACAGCATCCTGAATATCTCCAGTGTGGAGAGCTCCATTATCTTATTCCTTTAACAGTCAGGATTTTTTTTTACAGATGTTCAGCCAGTGTGGAATAGTTAACTTATTTTATTTTGAAATAATAAGCCATCCAAAGACGGAAGTAATGGACAGCATACAAATTTGATAGATAAATAAATGTTCAACCAAAATCTGGTTTCCTGTAACTTGAACCTATTATTCCATGTCCTGCACTATGGGTTGATCCAGATGAGATCTTGTCACTTGGTCAGCTAGTCAATCTTTATTTGCATTAGCCACAGGCTTTAGTATATAAAATATAAATGTACAGAAATAACAAATAAGTGTACTAAGCTAAAATTACTTAAAATAGTTCTGTGATTTATATTAGATACCAGTACCAAAATTATTGAATAATTCATTGTACATATCCTCTTAGAAGTTAGAGCTCTGAAATAAAAGTGGGCCTTAACTCTTGCAGTTTTCATTAAGACCTGTCTGTTTTGATCTGTTAAAGACAAGACACATAAATAGAATCAGGATGCCCTGAAATAGGTAACAGTAGGGGACTAAGCACCTCAGTTCTTAGAGCTTTATAGAAATTGTAGTGTGAAGTTTTGTGATGACACACTTCATCCAAGGACTCTCATGGGAGTCTTACAAGATCAAAGAAGGTAAAGCAGTAGGAGTTAAGTACAGCTGAAGTCAGAAATTAAGTGTCCTACACCAGTAAATTGATGGAAGGGATTTTAGCTTTCAGACACAGCAAAATGTTTGGAACACAACATGGAACTAAAAATATTTGTCTCAACTTCCACATCTCTAGTATAAGCATCCACCCAAAACTGGGTTCCACAAGGTAGCTATGCTAGAGATTTACCTTTAAATATTTTCAGTGCAGATAGTATGTAGGTGCCTCCTTTTGTGTAGAAAAAGAATGTCTGAATTTTAGTACTCTGAGATGCCTTTTCCAACATGTATTTCTGATGGACTGTCCAAGATCCTGTTGACTGAAAAATCACTCCAAGGTATTTAAAAGCTTTAACTTGTTTAATTGGCCGATTATCCACAGACCATCTGTGGACTCTGTGACTAGAACACTAGGTGTTCTTCATGGCAATGCTTTTAGTTTGCGAAAAAAATTCAACAGTATCTGCATACCTAAGGATGGAAACAGATTTTGTAGCCAGTTCAGGGGCATGGAATGCTGGCGATTCTTAACAGTGTCATTTATAGAAGGATTAAGCAATCCAGGAGTCAGGATACAGCCTTGTTTGACTCCCTTTGTGACTAACTCAGGTCCAGTGAGTTGTCCATCTGTGGAGCATCACACCTTCAGCCTGGTGTTGTATAAGCATATAATAATAAAAAGGAGAGGTCTTTCATCTATAGCTAGGAGTTTTAATTTGTCCCAGAGTCTAGTATGGGGAATTGAGTCAAATGCTGTTGTCAGATCAATAAAAGCTGCATACAACAAACCACTTTTAAACTCAGCTGGTGTTTCAGGTGGCCACTCTGGTAAGTTTGCCAGAGTTCCCATTATCCAGGAACTAGCCTCATCGTGCCTCTAACAGAATGAGGTATAATACTGAATTGATTCATTAGGTCCAATAGTGCATACAGGGTCTTTGCAACCATCCTGCTATATACGCTAAGCCAACAACATGCAGTTTTGCACTGCCCTGGCCCCTGTGGTCTCAGTCAAGAGCCACAAGCCAACATCTTTTAACTGTCCCTTTCAGCTTAGTATAAATAAGCAAAACAAAGCGCTGTCACACAGCAAATCCACTATATCCTTCAAAGTTAGCTCAGGATAGAAAACCAAATTAATTCTCTGAATGCACTTAATGGCCTAAAGCCACTGCCATCAAGCCCCCAAAATTAAGCATCATATAATTCAGTCTGTGAAAACCACTGAAAAGCAAATAATGTTATTTTATATTACAAAATGCTATGGTATTAAGTTTGAATACCAAGCTTAAGATACCAAATTTATGGAATGATGTAAAATGGAATTAATCTATAAGCCAGAAAAAACCTTACTTCAATAAAGTCATATAGGTGGTTTTCATTCTTAAATTTTAAAAATTGTGATATTAATATCAAAACTGAAGATGTATATTGCTATATTCACATTAATCATACTATTTTATTCATAATAGATATACTTCAAGCAGCACTTTGATGAGCCCTTTTTATTTTTACTTAATGCTGTAAAATCTCTAAATAAGAAAAAGATTTCAAAAAAGCCTTTGATAGATTTGAATGGCAATTCTTGTTTACTCTTCAAAAACTTAAGAAAGCTGTTTAAAACTGCTTTATAAGAAATAAGTGGACTATAGTAGGTAATTCAAAACCCTGGTACATGGAGGAACAAAATCGATGCATCAGATTACAATATATTTTAAGATATTGAAATAAGTTAAAATATGAATAATACACAGGCCAAAGTTCAGTAGTGTGGTGCTGGCAAATAAAGCAGCAGTTAGCCAACAAAAATTGGTGGTGTGGGAGCAACAAAAAGGCTGTTTTGCACTAAAATAAGGTAAAAGGGAAGCATGTGCCTTATTTTCCAGTAAAATTATGTTCCTAGAATTGTGATGTTGCTTGATAACAAGGCATGTCCTCCCTGGCTACCTTGTTTTCAAGGAAAATTGATGGGATTTTGATGTAACCACAGTATAAAATCCATCATGTGGAAGCAACAATTTTGTTGGAAAGGGGGAAGAGAACAACCTCTAGTGTGTCCACACTTGATGTAAAGAACAGCTTCAAAAATTTTGGCAAGTTACACAGGTTCTGAAAACTTGTGAAATAGGCTAAGAGATGATAGGTGACAGAATTATAAAATAATGAATGGGACCAGTTTAAAATATATTGAAAAGCAAATTATAAAGTAGAAATTAGCACATATTCATATTGTACAATTATAATGAAGTATTTGAATAACATCAAGACGTATTATGTGACACTACTATTTACTTTCTAATAAAGCATTATGTATGAAGCACTGTATGTTGTTTCTTTCACTATTTAATATTTTATTAATTTTTTAAAAAATCAGTAATGATGTTATGAATTAGGACACATTAAAGTGGCATATACTATTGCATTGATATAGATGGATAGATAGATTCTAACAAAAATTAGATCTATAAAATAAACTTTCAAAATACTTGGTAGCCAATATACAAATAAACAGAGATAACTCCTATACAAAAAACAGATCACATGTGAGAACAATATTACAGTGGTACCTTGGCTCATGAACTTAATCCATTCCATGACTCTGGTCACGACCCAAATTGGTTGTGAACCAAGTCAAATTTCCCCATAAGGTTCAATGTAAATAAAGATAATCCGTTCTGTAACCATTTTTTTTAAATCACAAAAATTTGAAACAAAGTGACAAACAACAACAAAATAGCAAAGAACAGAAAAGATCACAGCCATCTCCCCCTCCCAGCATGATCGCTGCCATCTCCCCTCCCCACCCCCGAGCACTAGTGCAGCCACAATCATGTGTGTGCAGGGAAGAGGGGCGCAATCGCGACCTGATGTGGAATTCGTGACCCGAGGCAAATTTTTTCTGAAATTTCTGTTTCTGTCTGATTCGGTTGTGAACTGAGGCGTTTGTGAGCTGAGGTACCACTGTAACAAAACGAAGTAAAACCAACAAATAAGTGCCAACTAGATTCAACATTAGTTTATGCAAATAATGAACATTAAATTTTAAAAATTAAAATGGATGTCATGGAGGAGGGGGGCAGCACATTGGTTGGAAAGCCTGGTGAGACTTACAGCAGAGTTGTCATATATAACAAACGTGTGGCAACCAGCATTTAGTATTAGAGGGAATAAGTACAAGTCAGATCCAGTAAAAAGATGTTCAAATCAACTTATTTATTAGTGTTTGTATACATGTCTGTTAGAAACAGAAATGGGCCCTGATCTGGACAATGGAAGAGTGAACCATGGTGCAGCCATTTTAGAAGTAAAAAAAAAAAAAAAATCAGCCATCTGTCTTGGTTTACTCCAAGTCTGCAGCAACTACTTCTTCAGGCTGTGTAGGAAATAACTAGGCTGTAGCATTAAATCTATTGAAAGTGAAACAGAGATAGCCTGGTTCAGTAATCTACGTTCTGCTAATCGCCAG